AATAATTCATGTATAAATAAATAAGAAAGAAAAAAACCAAATGCACAAATAGCAGAGAGGCACACCCGCAACCAATACAGAACCAAGTTGCAAGTGAACCCCTAAGCCGAACATGCAAAAGCTTTGCAGTCGATAGCAGTAGCAACACCAGCTATTTTTCAAGTCATAGTGGGATGTTAAGAATGCAAGTTAGTTTAAATACGACATAGGCCAATCGCGGGTATTAAGCAAAATTGCTTTAAAGAGTCCGACATTGAGATTAAGTGGTAGACGTCATTCAGGTTTCCGCAAACAACTTTGAACAGATTAAACAGGTTATAATTATATTTACATTGACTAAGCCTAACGTAGATAGTGTGCCTAGAGAAGCGATTAGGAACATTAAAGGTGATCGCACCAAGTAATATGGGCGAATCGATAGTGTCGTTAATTAATTTAATTAGGAAGAAAGCATCAACAATAAATTTACGTTTCTCAAGTGACGGTAAGGATAACAGACGCAACGTATTTTCATAAGGAGGAAGAGACACAAGCGGGTCCCAAACCAAATTTGTAAGGGCAAACAGCAAGATTTGCTTTTGAACGAATTCAATTGAACCCACAAAACGTCTGTAGGAAGCAGACCACACAACAGAGGCATACTCAAATATTAATTTAACTAAGCACTTGTACAGCCTTTTTGAATTGAAAAGACTCTTAAGTGCATTGGATCATCTCATAATGCAATCTAGCGCGGGCCTAGCTTTACTAAAAGAGAGCTTAATGTGCAGATTAACAATCTGTGTAATCTGTGGTCGAGTAGAACCCTTACTACATCAATGAATGAATCTACGTTTTCCAACTTGTGTGAATCAATGAAGTGCTCAGTATTAAATGACTTTCTCCTTGACAATATATGAAAACAAAGAAAATGCGCTGGCTTTTAAGGCCAAAGTCCAAGCTTGATCTGAGGAGAAAATTTGTATTCTACAAAACTGCTCTAAAGCCGGTATAGATGTATGAGATCCAGCATATCCTAAGGTACAAATATTATAGAGATATCGATCTAAAACCATAAAACTAATCGAAAATGCTCCTTGGTTAGTGGACGATCACATCTTATACAACGACCTTGATATACTCCAAATTAATTAATTAAACGAATTAAGCCGGCGCCCTAATATTTTAACTGCAAACATATTAGATGATAGTTATGAAGTAAGAAGACTGAAAAGCCATTCTATATTAGACCTCCCCTTCACATAGACACATTACTGATATTCTAAACGCAAATTCAATGCCACAAGTGAAAAATTAAACAAATGCAAACATATATCGAAAAAACAATTATTTTAATAAGTTATTATGTAATTATGGTCGACTTTTAAATAGCCTACACTACTTCGCCTAATACACGGATGCAGAAATAGCTAAGTTTAATACATTGCAGAACGAAGACGGTAAGGTTTCAATATTCACAGCAGAGAAATCGAGCATAATGTGTAAAAAATGAGATTTAGGCACTAAAATATTGGTTTTATTAAAATCATAATATTTATTACATAAAGTTGGATTTGGCACGTTAGAGTAGTTCAACGGCCTACCACGCCTGCAAAAAAAAGGAAATACAAATTGCGGGATGATACGGATTCTCAGGTGAACTAAAGGGTGGACAGCGATTTACAATCATCTCCGTGAAATTGGCAAGGCAAAGATCTAGCAGTCTGCCACTACAATTAAGAATAAGGTTGTATTGAAGTAAATTACGATCAAATAATTCATTGAAAAACAGGATAACTCTATCAGATGTTGATGGGGGCACCGCACAGTCACAATTATCGATGTAACACCAAGAGACTGTTGGCAAGTTGAAGTACCCTAACGCTATGACTATATCAGTAGCTTTAGACTTTTCAGCAACGTCACAAACGAAGACAGCATGTTTTCCATAAATAGAGGTACTACTTTTCATGAGAACACTTCACGGTGGGTTCCAGAAAATAAGCCCACGTAGTCCTAATTTGTCACAATTTATTTTTCTGTTGAATAAATGTTATTGACTAACATAACATTTCTTGCTTATGAAGCTCTGTGTATGAGCGATTATATAAGAAGGGGTGCAAAAAATTGACACATCCGGTCCAAATTTTACATTAATTTAGTACACCAACCATTTGTATCATAGTACCTGGAGAAGTGCAAAATTTTTCTTAAAATTATTTTTTGAACGCAAAGCGCAAATTGAAAGGATAGATACACATGTAGGGAGAGGCAAACTTAACTCAACTCAGAATGTGATTCTGGATGGGTCGGTCAAAGCACCAGCGTGGCTTGGGCTGCGTATTATACAAGATCACTCAAAGTTATATAGACTGACGTTATAGTCAAAATAGTAGGCGTCCACGTTAGTTAGGTTGCCCAAAGCAAGATTGATGCAGTTCTCACAAGATTACCGGGAGAATCCTCTCTTAATTGACTCTGGATAGGGCTCCCTGGGAATTGGCGTTAGATATCCCTCGACGCTGATCAGAGTTGAGAAAAAATTGTCACTTCTTTCTCATTCTGGTAGCTCGAGAATAATCAGACCTCCTTCTATGGCACTATTAGCCTACTTCTTATTTATCGCCGGTTAATGCTAAACTAATTAATCCGTTGTGCCATCGGGCAACGAGAGAATAATCTATTCGTGACATGTACGCACGGTAACCCTTAACGTCTTTTTCGGTCTGCTGCTAGAACTTTAACGATTATCAAACTTGAGATAAAAAGCTGAAAACGGCTTATCTTCTCTTAGTTAATGAAGGCACATGAAGTTTGAGAACGAGCTTGACTTCTAGTACAGACAGTAAGTTTTAATTTCCGTTATGAGAATTTCACTATAAATATTTACAAAATCTTTCTAAAATTTAAACGCAATAATCGATGCCTGCAAAGTGTTCACCAAACGCAAAAGGGCTGAACGTATTTACCAAAGATTCTGCACTTGATATGTACATTTTTCGGACGTGTGAAGATATGTCCATACCATGATATGTTCCTACCTAACAAACCCATTTAAAATTATTATTTATTCGTAGGACGTAGGGAGAGTTAGAGTTTCATTATAAGAAACAGGAAACTGCTCTGCTATATTTTTTTTTTCCGAGGAGGAGAAGGAAGGCGTAACATTTGTAGCCCATGAATGTTTAAATAAATTTGACTGTTTAAATAATTTTCCCTTTTTCCGCTGTTTTAATTGTGTCAATGTATTCGCCGCTGTCCACTGACGTCTTTGATTAATACTACAAGAAAAGAAAATACTGACCATACCCCAACGTCGCAGAGGTTCCCTTGCACGGATATGTTGCAATTAATGACAAACCTGTAAGTTTAAGCGTACTAACAATACCTTCTTTAATGCAATTACTATCTGTATTGAACACAAATAGCCAGACCTTAGGCTTCCCTCAGCACAAAAATCGTCATCTGCAGTGTGCTCTAGAAAGAATCAATACGCATGGAAATCCTTATTAGGGTAGAATTCAAAAAATAGGCAGAGATCTTCCTTTTTTGCTTGGGGAGCAAGAGAAAGGGGATGTTAAAATAGCATTTTCAGTCAAATCGTACGGTAGTCATTATTCCTCCTTTTGGATCTTTTCCTTCGCAAGTACACATCTAAAAACGGTTGATTCATCAACTGGTAAACTGTTTGAAAGTTCTTTGTAAATTTGAGTTCATTGGCTTTTCGTCCTGTAAACCTTACAATGGATTCATTGTCTTCGAGATTTTTGGTCCTCCATTTGTCATTGATATCAAATTCCCCATTTTTAAACCGTTTAAACCAAAAACGACGATTGCCATATAATAGAGCAGCATGACGATAAGCTTGTAATACTGTTTGATAGGCGTCAGATCTCTTCAAATTAAACAACAAACGTAATGTATTTCGAAAATGCAATTTTGAACGTTCCACGATTAGCGTCTGTATACACTGTATAACTCAATATTAAATAGAAAACTTTTCTTGTATGAAGAGAAAGGTCAAAATCATCGAATTTAAGTTACAATATTTTATCATTTTTATCAATAGATGATCGAAATACATACAATTACCCTATACCCTACTACCACAAGTGGCGTAGGGTGTAAAAATGTTCGCCGGAATAAAAACACTTGAACATTGATTACATTGTGATACAAATTTTTAACAAAAAGCAAGCAAAACTAAATAAGAAAATATTCTTCTTCGTAAACTTTATGAAGAGCAATAACTCGAAACTTTTTGATTCTTATAAAATATTTATGAATAAAAATGTTAAGGTAAAAGGAGTGTTCGTTCCAACGAATACATATAATCAAAAGTTCTAATGAAATTGCACATTAACTTTGCTTAATATAAGAATAGGTTACAACCAAATGCTGAACTTAAAACATTTTTTAAATTTAAATATTTCTCATTTATAACAATTAATGAGTGAATAAATAGTTGAAAGGGTGATGAACAACATCTTCCTGCCACCATGTAAATGCTCGTATATCTAATATTAAAGAACAAATATTTATATATATATATATATTATGAAAAAATGAACAACATGAAATACATTCAATAAAAAGAAATATTTTCTAAATATTTTTAAAATTTTTAAATGTTGATTACATCGAAACGAAAACAATTGTTTCATTTTAAATAAAAATATTTACAATCTTTTAAAAAAAATTTGTTTTCTTCAATTTTTTTACCTCTTCACTCAGGTTGCCGAGCAGTTTACTGTAATTATTTCAAAATTTTCTTAAAAAATTTCTTCAACATAATATAATAAAACAAACGACATTCCTAATAAAACAAGTGAAAACACTATAATAGGACGCACCCATCCATTAAATACCTTACACTATTCTGTTTAATATAATTATTCATATAACAACATTTCAAAACGACGTTGCCCGGTCCGACCCATTTTCAAAATTGCATCAAAATATTTGAAATATTACGTTCTGAAGATTGAATAAAAGAAAGCAAGACAGACAGACGAACGAACAGACGGAGAGACAAACTTGGATCGATTCAGATTGTAATGATAATGATTCTGAATCGATCGGTATAACAAAAAGTGGAGCTATTTAAAGTCCTTCCCCACACAAACTTGATATACACTTCTATCATCGACATACTAAAATTCATCTTACAAAATATCTCAAGGCATTTGTAAACATTTTAAAACAGTTGATCAGTTTTTCTTGAGTTTATAAAGGATCAGCTGTATATAAGTAGCGATTTGAAGCAATTCAAGTTTGGCTTAGATTAAAATCAGAAAAATACTTCGTGTACTTAAGGTATTAGAAATTTTTTTTTTTTTACACTCAATGTGCAATCAGATCATATATTTGATGTATAATGACGTCAAGTCCAAATCTGACTAAGACTCACAGTAAAAGGTTGTGCTGGCTTAAAAGCAGTCAGTGGGATACCCTCGCAATACAGTAAATTGCTCGCCAACCTAACGCGAAAAAACAAAAAAAAAAAAAGAAAAACAAAAAGAGAAAAAATTGGTTTTTCGGAATTTTGATATGAAATATGCAGACGTAATAATTGCCTCTTTTTTCCATGCCTTAAAAAATCTTATTGAAATTAGGGTCACTGGTAGTCGCCACACCGGCATTGACAACAGTTTCTCTCATTTTAGAAAATAAAGTTGAATTACGAACATTTAGTATACCGCTGCCTAAAATACTGTCACTAGCGTTCAGTTTCAGCAGCGGTGGTCTCCTTTTCATGGTCAATCCTTCATTACTATCTGTCTTAACCATACCGTTTTGATTTTTTGGACCCATCATGAAATATGTGGTACGAGACTTTTCTTTAGTTTCATTTTTCTCGGGGTTTTTTGATTTCTTCTCAAACTTTTCATCTACATTGGTTCCATTATTAACTACGTCATCGTTGACTTTAACCTTAACGCTATCGTAGCGAGAACGTCGTAACTTTTCGGGGATCATATGGGACTTTATTTCCAATTCTGTTGTGTTTATTACTTCACAATCGATTTGCATGAGCACTACGTCACCGTTTAAGGAGGGATCGCCAGCCGGTAACATCAAAGACATTTTTGGGCGTGATGTTTTATTGTAAGCCGAAGCCGGTAATAAAATATGATCCATATTGAAGGACAATACATAAAAGGTATCGTCTTGCCGCTTAATGCCTTTAAATAAACGCAAATATTCCTCACTAATGCGTGGCTTAAACAGCTCTAAAGAATTGAAACCGGATGGTAAGTTCGCTAACTTTGCTTTTTTATTGCTTGGTATTGCCGTATTATCCATAAATATTTTACGTTTTTGTGGTTTGTTGCCTACGGGATCTTGCAACGGTAGATCGAGATTGACATAATTCCTAGTCAACTTAAAATGAGACACATTGTCCAAATTACGGCCTGAACTCAAGTTCAAATAGTCATTGCCGCCAATCCATTTATGCAAATTTCGAGCCAAACGCATATTCTCTTGTATGTAATTCGTTGTGTTGCTTGAAGCTGACGACGCACATTTCTCAGATTTTTTTAACAACGGATCATCTTGAGGCGCTGTGCCGTTCAGTTTGTCACCTGTGGTCCGATTGATGGGTCGCAAAAAATGCAACGGCGGCGGTGCCATTTTGGTGAATTCAATTTCACGTTTGCTGCGGTTATTTTGCTCGTGAAACTCCTGCTCAGTGGGCACCCATAATAAGCGTCGTCCGCCAGATGGCAATAATTGTTGTTCTTCGCCCGTTGCCGCAATTGATTCTAAAGCACTATTTTCGAGACCCGCCTTATTTAAGTAATGTTGAAAGTTGCCAACATTCAACGTCACCATGAAAGCCATCGCAAACAAAATGGCTACATTTTTCTTAACCGTTGTCGCTGACATACGTTGCTTGAAATTTCGATTAATATTAGGCGGTGCATTAGGCGGTTTCGGTGCTATCTTAATATGATTCGTTGAACCTCTGAATGGCTGCTCGGGTTGCGTTTGTTTATTGACTTTATTGTTTAGCAGAAAAGCTGAGTCAATAGCACTTAATACAGTTGCTTTGGCTTCGGTATTGATTTGTAAAGAATTCAATATAAATTCGCTAACGTTGGCATTTTTACATTGGCACGTCTGAGCAAAAGCAATTAATTGAGAACGCAATGAAGAGTTTTCCTGCAAACATATATTGAAATAGCAAATTAATGAAATTTAACAAGATAATCAGACTTTTAATTACCCCCTTTAATGTGTAATTCTCCTTTTCCAAACCTTTAATACGATTTTCTAAACGTTCCATATACTCTTTCTTCTTACGACGTGACAACGAGGCCGATTCACGATTTTTCAACATACGTTGTTGTTTCTTAAACAATTTCTCATCTATAAGATCTTTATATGCATCGAAATTTCCATTTCCCCCTTTCAGTTGAGCGCCGCCAGAGAAACGATTGCCGTTAGCCATAAGGTTTGCTCGAGCTTGAGCGTTCAAGGTCTGTTTAATCGCATGTGCGCCGCTGGCCTTAACAATGTTTGCTTTAAATTGATTATGAATTGGCGGAGAAGTTGTCGCTGTGATATTTCCGGTGGTATTGTTAAAAATTTTATTTGCCGGTATTATTTTACCGTTAGTAGTTTTCAATACAACTTTGGGCATTTGCCCATTGGTGGCGCTGAATTTTTTATTGGCCCCGTTATTAATATTATTATTATTACTATTATTACTATTCATTTTTTGCATTAACACTTTAAAATCATTCGAAGATAAATAAATTGTTTTTGGTTTTGGATTAGATGGAGGATTCAATTTAGGTGATGGTGTTGTGGTGTGTATGACTTTTGACGCGGGTATGGCTGCAGATGTAGACCTAATTTCATCAGCTTTTACATTGGTACAAGGTTTAACCGACTCCACCGGAACAGATGATTTACGTAAAGGTACCACCATCGTATTTATCGTTTTTACGGGTATTGCAACATTTATCAACGCGGAAGGTGTAGTCGCTAATTTGTTATCTTTTATTATTTCTGTTTTAAATTCCTTAGCGTCTTCCTTGTGGAAACCTGCAAAATTATTTTCCACCTTTTGTTCGGGACGAATAGCAGCAGCAGTTTCCTTCAAATTTAATAATGGTTTCGTTACAAGCTCAAACTCTTCGCCAGTTTCATGTTTTATTTGTTGAATATTTTCATGTGCTGAAGTCATTGAAACATCACTTTGTATGCCACTGGTTGAGCTACCACTAGAACTGGCGTAACTTCCTGTAGGTGACGGTGTATGTCTTCTTTGACTTTCGCTTGTATTAATGCGTATTAAATCATCCATTTTTATATCATCATCGTTTAAAAAATTAAAGAAATCATCAGCATTAAAATGCTCACCGTCCATAGACGAAGTAGATGATGTACGCGCAGAGATTTCATGAGATGATATTGAATCTGATAAATGTGTGCTGGCTGGTGAAGGAAATGCGTTAAAATTAAAATGAAATTCATCCCGCATATGGGGCTGTAGGCTACAGTTGCTTATATCTAAGCTACTACATGATGTTGCTGCTGTAATTGGCGGCTCAAATGGCGTAGAGCTTAGATCGAAATCACTAACCGCAGTCAGATCAAGCGAAGCATCTAAATTTGTACCAGTAGAACGTAGGATTTCGTCTAAATCTTCCAACGAGTATTCCGAAGCTGGCGCGATAAACGATGACATATTATCTAGAAGAAATTAAAGAAATTTTAATTATTTATTGTCTACTACTCGCAAAGCAATTAAAACATTGTCATGAGCCAGAATCCACCCAAGATAGCGATCTGCACCATGAACACATGTATACAAGGCACAGAGAGATACACACACCAAGCTTACCAGACTACCAGCAAATTTAATTAGTTTAGTAATTTGAATATATTTGCACATTTCACTTAGGATCTTTATTATTTCTGTTTGAAAGACATCTTTGAGGGTTCACAAGTTGAAAGTCCGTCATCCTTGACAATTGTTCATAAATTTACTGAATATAGTAGGAACTTTGGTAAACTTTATCTCTATATAGAGATAAAATGGATAAAATTATATAGCTTTTCTCATCCAAAAGTTTAAGTAAACCCCAATGCTTGCGCCCTTTTCTTGTTTGAGCCCTAACGTTCGCAAAATTTTGCCTATATATCATTCGTAGATATTTATAGGCATTGGAATGTATCGCGATTATCCGTTTTCCAAAGAAATGCTAAGCGCATTGAAATATGTTTCACTTCATAACGATGCACTTTATGTAAAGTGACGTCCAAAACTAATAGTACCTCTTCTACGGACTCTGTGCCTTTTATCCGTGAATAGTGCAGAAGAAGTGATTTTATGAATTAGTCAATTAAATTCCTTCCTTGATAAATATTGACGCCATTGTTTAATTGCTAACCAATTTTTTACATCCACACCGAATAAAAGGAATAATGTACCGTACCGATCGTTTTTTTCTCCGTGTATAAGTAAAATGTATTAAAAATTTGTTCATTTGTTGAAACAAATTATTTGGCATTTCTAATAAGCTGATTCGACAAAGCAGTCCACTGCGGCCCACTATTAAATAGTCTTCACCACTTCGTTTAATACCGTTATTCATATCACAATTTTTCAAAAAAAGAAAAATTGTTCCGATACGAAGCATTTAACAAAAAATCAAGTGAGACAAACCTACAGACAAAGTTTACATGCAGAAAGTGATTCTAAACAGATCGGTATAATATAAAAGGGATGTATCTCAACTCTTTCTGAGCATTGTGTTCATCCGTACACACTTGATATACCTTTGTACCACAAGCGCGTAGTGTATAGGAAGTCACCATAACACAAATACGACTCTCCTACTTGTTTCTCGGTAAGCCAAGTGGACGGCTCCAGGCCATTTTCAAATTTCAATTAAATACTTAAACTGAACGCACGTGTGTTAATTCGTTCTTCTCATCGAGATAATTTCATTAAAAGAACAATAGAGGGGGAGCGAAGAAAAAGAACTCACGACTTATTTTAAATGTCTGGCACGTCAAAAGTAATATAAAACTTAGTATACCCATAGCCCAGCGATTATGAACATTAAAAGAAAAAAAAAAAAAGCTATAAAAATTATTACGCAAAACTTTTTTTAACAAAATTTTCAAAATAGTTTAAACTGATTAAGTAATAAACTAGTAATGAAATATAGATAAGAGAGCGGCAAAAATAAAAATGCAATCGAACAAGAGATACGCGAATTCAACATGATATTATGATATCCAACAAGTAATATGTAGCAAATGTTTAAGGTTAAAGATGTTAAATTCCGTATGTGATTGGCTTTCTCTTTGAAGCTATACCATCGAAATAAAATCTTTGTTCGATGAGCCCGCCATAAAATAATTATTTGGAGACCACCACCGCTTTATCGCTTTCTTTTTTTTCAAAATATACTCCTATCCGAATTTCAATTTCTTGAATTAGCCTAACATGGAGTCTCCAACGGTTCAGCCAATGAAAGTACAAGGGAGATTGGTTCGTATTATAGTTGGAAACTTTCTCCGAAATATTTCTGAGATTAATCATTACAAGAAAGACAATAAGTCATTTTGAATCTCATGAATTTTTAATTGAATCAACTTATATTTCGCTAAACTGTCGTTAAAATTGACGCTTTTAGAACTAGCCGGGTACAAAGCGATTAAAAGGTTCCTAAAATCTTTCATCTACCATTGCTTAAGCCCACGCGATCAAACCCACATGACCTTCTACCAAAAGGGAGATAAGTTCGTATTATATTTAAGAAGTCCCTTCAAAATGCTTCCATTTCAAGAACGACAACGGCAGTTCTAGATCTCATGGATTTTTATTAAATGTTATTGAATTCGGCGCCCTTACAGAGAAATTACAAGCAAAAGTGACGGAAGAGAAAGCGATTAAAAGTTTCCTAAAACCATATAAACATGTTGCCGCGCGTTAAATGCGAAAGTCCACTTAATGAATGTACGACAAATTGAATTCTACAACTTTTATGATTTTGGTCACTTCAAAATTTTACTTAATCTTGGATCTGGAATCTTGGAGTAATCTGACTGATTGTAATCTCTTTATAAATAACATAAACAACAAGTTTCTATTTAATTGAAATACTTTCATGCGCAAAGAAAGTTTTAATTTTAACTAAAAAATTAGGGGCGTTTTTCTAATTAGAATTCTCTCCTTCTCAAGCAAGCAGATGTGCCGTCAAAAATATATAAAATTTTGCTATAGTTAGTTGATTACTCAAAAAAACAAACACGCGAGCACATTTTCTTCATAAAGCACTTACCGTAAAAATTTTCATTGTCCACATCCATATTTATTTAAATTCCTTTGAGTTATTTGTTACTTTTATTCAATCATTGAATTATACAGAAATTCTTGCATTTTATTATTTTACTTTTCAAGTAAATATGATAATTAATAATAAACTAATTAAGATTTACTTCTTAATCCCCGAAAAAAAAGTTGTCGACGAGGCATAACTATAACAATGTTGTTAACGCGTTTGTTATTTAAAGTAAATTTAGCGTTTGCTAGTTATACATAAATTACAAGCATTCCCATGCCATTGCAGAATAAAATATTTTTTAATAAATATTCAAAATCAGTTATATGAGAAATATATGATTATAAAGCAAAATAATATACGATAAAAACAAAAAAGTCATGGTTGGTTTGAAACTTTTTAATAATTTGTTTTGCGATGGTCGCATTATTGAAATTTTCGCTGCTAAGTTTTAACTAAATGAATGAAATTTGTAACATGCTAACGCAATGATTGCGCTATGCGTTGCGCGTGGCCAACCAACGCTTGAAATAAGTTAAGATTCAAGTTTATTTATTCCAATTCATTTTTTAACATTTCGCATAAACTTTGATAATTACATAAGTTTCTTAACGTAACTAGTACTTTTCTAAGAATATATTTATTGCCGGGTTTATATTTAATTCTTTCGTTATTAGACATTAATATTTATGTCAATCACGGTTAACTACCCTCAAAAGAAGGAAATGACATAAAAGGGGTTTCTTTTAGGTTTTTGTTTTTGCTTAAGTCTAAAGCTATTTACATTCTTAAAAACTACTTACATCTAATACTATGTCTACGTACAATTATTGCGAAGTGTACGGGAATTTTTTCTTCTATGATAGAAGTACAATTTATTGTTTATGGTTAATGCATTGACATTTTTAAGTGTTAGTAGGACGTCAACGTTTGTATTCTCTAAATAGGTGCATCTCTCCAAACAGTTGACGGCTGCGGCTACAAGAAATATGTCTAATCTGTTCATGTTTGCTGTTTCGTATACCTTTCTGCAAGATGGTTTTCTGAACGAGCCATCTGGCATTTTATAGGGCTTTAGGTTACAGCATTGGTTTAGGTTCTTTCTCTCCATTATCCTTAGACTCTCCATTTGACTGCAAGAGTTGCCTAAATAATTACAGGTCTTATGATCTGCTTGTAAATCAATAGCTTAACATCCTTGTCGAGCGTGCACTTACTCCAAAGTGCGTTATTATATAGGACGTTTATACTTTTCGCCTTTTTCAGGATATAGTCAATGTGCCTGTAGAACTCGAACTTTCCATTAAATATGACGCCCAGATATTTCAAGTTTTCTGCTGTCTTGATCTCTTGTTGGTTGATTACAATCTTTGGGATGAATTTCCTGGCGTTCTTCTATAGATTCTTACGCTTTCCTGTTATGGCAATGGCAGAGCATTTGTCTATGTTAAACCTCAGTTGTCAGCTATGACGGAATTCGGAGACACGTGATAGATACTCATTTATGTTTTTGTTGTCTATTTTTGATCTTCGATGTGAACGCGTTATTAAGCAGTCATCAGTTTTTAACAAGCACAAAAACAAAATATAATCATATGGTCAATATTCTAGTCTTTGCAATGCTTATTTGCAATTACGAAAATTATTTCATTATAATAACAAAGGCCTACAAGAAAGAAAAAGTTAAATTATTTGAATAAATAAATAATATTTTAATTTCCAAATAAATAATATATTAATAAAATAAAATATTATTTTAATATCCAAATTATATTTTTTCTTCATATACTTTAAAAAAAAAAAATTTTGAAGATATTTTTCACTTTTCGTTAAACCTAATACTTCTATGCTTTATCAAAATTTGACATGTCTTATTTATCGCCTATAGTGTTTCATTTTCGAAACTAAATTATATCAATTCTCATCAGGTACACCCTGTACTTGTTTGTTGACAGATAACATTGTTGTAGTTGTCATTTCTTTTATAATGGCTGCCATTATAAAACTAATAATTTTGTTAATTGTGTTGCAAATAAATAAAGCAAAAGGTATTTTTATTTAAATACTAGATCATTATAAAATTTAAGTTAGAAGAAGTCAGGTAAAACAAGTTTAACTGTTAGAGAGCGTGAAAAACGTGCAAAGAAACCAATTGAAGATAAAGCTGCAATTTTTCGGCTATGTAGTAGACAAATGTATACATGTGTGCATGTGTGCAGCAGGCAACGCAGTAAACTCAAAAGAAGTAACCTGAAAATGAATTCTAAAAATGCATTACATATGAAATGAATTTTTTTCTTTTGTTTATTGAATATTAATATACATTAAAATTTGTATTTAAGGTGAAATTAACGGCCGTTCAATGGATGATTATCGGAAAAATATGTCGCACGAAATTTCATATACCAATAATAGTAAAGAATATCCGTCGCTGTTACCACAGAATTCCATACAAACACATCCTAGGTAAGTATGTAACAGAATGAAAGAAAAGAAAAAAGTCCCATTCGCTCATATCGCAAAGATCTTTAGTGTAGTATATTTTCGGAAAATATTCTGTATTAAAATTTTGCTACATTGTCATAATTACCTTTTCTTTGATCTAAAATCTCTCTTTGAAAAACCATCCTCTTATTAATGCTACTACTACTACTACTTAACATTATTATACCAATTATAATCAAAAGGAGGCATTCCAAATCTAAAAGACGCATGAAAAGAAGGTAAACTGCTTCATCAAAGTATTGAGTATTGTTATATTACAATTTTTTATTTCCCTTAAAATGTTTTTTAGTAAACTATTTTATGTTATTTCCTTCATCATAAACAAGTTGTCCATTGTTTAAATAATTTTTAAAAAAAATTTTTTTAATTTAAAAAAGTTTTTTGTTTGAAAGTCCAATTTTCCGTTATTCTAATTTCGATTTTTAATTTTACAGATTCAAATGCTTCTCCTGCGAACCGCCCTGCCACAATGCCTCTCAACATGCTCACATGTGCCAGAATGCTATACAGGTAGATTACCCAACTTTTATTTAATGAATTTCGTTTTGCAATAACTTGATTGCTTTCCCGGGTGTCGAATATGCTGCGTCTTTTTCTTGTCTTTGCTGTAGACAATGATTTCTTTGAATTTGTTCTCAAAGTTTAGAAGAAGAAGTTAGTCTTTATCTGGTACAATTAAGAATAATTTTTCCTACGAAATTTGTCATTGTCTTTTACATCATTCAAAACAAATGACTCTAAGTCATACCATTCGGGATGATCTCCAATATAAAAGAAGGTCAAAGTGTCGACATAAAATGCTCTGCACATTTCCTGAGCTCAAGTCTTCACAATTACAACAATTGTAGGTTGAAGGGTAGGAGCCATGCGTGGTTTTGCAGAAAACAAGTACTTGAATACTATCAAAAAAATCGGGAAACATCGTAAATAAAAATGTGCTCTCTTGACAACATTTGATATAATCGGAAAAACAAAAAAAGGTGAAACGCTGAAAAGATCAACTAAGTTCTGGTGGATAATGTGTGAATTACGTGCTTGCATTTTAATAGGATTGACAGTTAGGATCTGTGGTCATTAAAACTTCCATGTGCATGCATTGTCTCAAAAACACAGGAAATTATTAAAAATAACTCTGACTCTGATTTTTTTGATTTCACTGAAAATAAGTTTCATTAGAGGAAAGATTATGTCAAAACTAAATCCTTGTCTGTGCAGTTTTTATAAGCATTTTCCGAGATCGAGAAAAGTTACTTATTCCATTTGCCTTTAACGCTTGTCAATTAACTTCCATTGATTTACATAAGATCACAACTTGTGCTCTAAGGAAAAATTAAACCTGCCCATGCCGAGTCCTGTCCGCCTAGCACAAGGTATTTGGTGAAAAATAAATTTTTCTGGAACAAGGCGAGACGTAGTATCATTCGTGCCTAACGAAATGAGTAAAAGTTCACTGACGAAATCATAAAACACTCGGAACTTTCTGGTATCGTGGCAACGTTTCGGAACTATTATTTCCATTTTATCGACGATTGTCTTATTTGATGACGTTAACTTCCATTTGGAAAGAGGAAAAATTTCAAACAAGTTGACACCATTATCTCTATTGCGTTATTTATATACGACATTTTTATAGTCGAAGTGTTGCAGCGTACGGGAGTCCATTGAGACTTTAGAAATTAAAGGCCATACTTACTTTAATAAATCATTTACTTTAATATTGTAAACTATTTACTATACTTTTGTGCCTGAGATGATGAGTAAGCAAACGGCTGAATGATCGTGGGTTCAAATCTCGAGTGCGGTAGAGTTTTCAATAAAGCCGAGAGACTAAAATGTACTAAGTGTTTTAAGACTTTACTCTTAGGCTTTTAATTTTCTCTGATTAAGTTAATTCTAATAAAAATAATTCATATGAATTCATTCTCCCCTATAGCTTTTCGATTCGCAAAAATAATATATAATTTATTTAATTGATTTTTTTTTCTACTTTTAAAGTGCTTTAAATCTCGTGTACGCAATGCTTTCGGTGAAGAAGAAGTAAGTCGCGGCTGTATTAATTCACCCGATCAAACACCATTGATTTGTAGTGCGAATAATATTAAAAGCTTAAATCCTCGTAAGCGACATACGGCCTCGCCAGTAAATGTGGCTTGTTGCGCCGGTGATTATTGCAATGGTGGTGAATTTCCTGAGTTGTTAAATAGTAAGCATATGGAGATATATTTATAATCCTGAGAAATTATTTACATATATATATATATATATATCATGCTGCACTTTTTTAGCGGAGATAACACGTTTAAACGATGATCGTAGTAATTTACTAAAATTGTTATTTGCTATTTTGGGTCCCATTGTGGCCATATCAATATTGGCCTATATAGCTATATACTTTATAAGACGTAAACATCGCAAACGTTTGCCTTCATCTCGTACGAAACAAGATCCTGATACTTATCTAATGAACGATGAAAGAGTGACAATAGGTGATAGCACTTTAAGGGTAAGAAAGACAATTATCATCAACAGTTTATGTAATTAACGCTAGTACACTTTTTTAATATATTCAGGAATATTTACAACATTCCGTTACTTCGGGCTCTGGATCTGGTTTACCGGTGTTCATACAACGTACTCTGAATAAGCAAGTCAGCTTAATAGAATGTATTGGGCGTGGTAAATACGGTGAAGTATGGCGTGGCCAATGGCATGGTGAAAATGTCGCTGTGAAAATTTTTACCAGTCGTGATGAGAACTCCTGGAGAAGGGAAACGGAAATTTATTGGTATATAGTTTAATTGCTTCTTTACATAAGTGCTTTGTGTTTGTATGAATTTTTTCTTTATTTTTTTAAAAGTACTGTTGCATTGCGCCATGAGAATATCTTAGGTTTCATTGGTTCCGATATAGCTTCGCGTAATTCTTGTACACAATTATGGCTACTAACACATTATCATCCTAATGGATCTTTGATGGATTATTTGAGTCGCAATACTCTCACACATGAGAAAATGATATTAATATGCCTTTCAATTGCTAATGGTTTGGAGCATATTCATTCAGAGATCACGCATTCTTCAGAGATATCAGGCATTGAGGTAAGTATGAAATGCGTGCCCTTTTTCCCCTCGAGTACCATACGGTCATTTTAATGGGATGTACGGAAATCTCAAGGCATGTTTTGTAACGCTGGCGGACACTTCAGGTCGCTGTTCTTTAGAATATTAAATAATAAGGTTAGAACTTGTGAGGATTCATTGCGTTCAATTAAGTTGTTCACAAATAGCCACGCAGCATAGCTCGTGTACGGTGGCAAAATGCTCCCCGATCAAGATTTCGTTCATCAGAGAATCATCATTTGCGCGTATTGCTCCATTTGATTTAAAAGATCCGCGTAGCGACTTAAGATGCAGTGGATCTATTTTGGTTGATGAAACATGATGTCCTACAAATTTTGTCGCCATCGCCCACAAGAATTAAAGGTCATGTCTATGAAATCAACTCAGTTTAGTGCTTTTGATTGTGGTGGTCTTTTTATAAATTGATCGTAGCTTTGTTCAGATACGCAAAGATCGTTGGTTCATAGTTAGTGGCCTCGCCATGGACCATATTCAAACCTTCATGTCTGGTACTTCGGTCTTAAAACAAGCCCTCTCATCTGCAGGACTGCCTTGCAAAAGAAGGGGCGCCCCAAATCATTAACTGCCTGATAAGCCTGCGGGCTTCGTCCGCAGGTGCCGACGTGACACCATAGACACATCTGACCTACATTTAGTATATTTAATATAGATATTATTGCTAGGTGACGACCATTATAAAAATAATAAATTACTTAATCAAGTTTCGTTTTTCTTCGTTACGCTTTTCAGGGTAGCTCCGCTAAGCCTGCTATGGCTCATCGGGATTTAAAATCGAAGAATATTTTGGTGAAATCGAACGGCACATGTGTTATAGCTGATTTCGGTTTAGCGGTTACACATTCAAACGTTACCGGCAAACTAGATCTGGGTAATAATCCTAAAGTTGGCACTAAACGTTATATGGCTCCTGAAGTTCTAGATGAAAGGTAAGTATATATATATATATATATATATATATATATGTATGAAACTTGCAAATGTATTCGTCGATCAAATTTTGATTAATTTTTCTCTTTTCAGTATTGATATGCAAAGGTTTGATTCATTACGTCCTACAGATATATACGCGTTAGGTTTGATATTATGGGAGGTATGCAGACGTACGATTTCATCGGGTAAATTTGAAGAATATAAAGTACCATATTATGATGTGGTACCAGCAGATCCCAGTTTTGAAGATATGCGCAAAGTCGTGTGTATAGACAATTATAGACCGTCCATACCAAATCGTTGGAGTTCAGATCCTGTAAGTTAGTCAAATATTGTATAATTTTTAGCTTTTAATTGATTTTTCCACATTTTGCGCGCGCGTATAGCTTTTGGAGGACATGTCCAAACTAATGAAAGAATGTTGGCGTCGAAATCCCGTTGCGCGTGTTTCAGTGTTACGCGTTAGAAAGACTATACAAAAACTAGCTGCCGCTGAAAAGTTGAAAAATGAAAAGATGAAAAGTTACGAAGACGAGATCTGTGTATAACAAATTTTACATTAATTTTATATTAATTTCATTAGCGTAAGTTAAACGTGTTAGATTTTATAGTTGTAAATTTTTATTATATAAAATATTTTAGTTCTTTAAAATTTAAAAGAAAATATATATAAATATATATATAAAGATATAAATAGATATACATATAAGAATAAGAAAATTTAAAAAATTAAGATTAACATAGTATTAATGTCTGTTTAAAAAAATTAAGCTAATAAGATGTTAAAGATATGAAAGAAAAAAATTGTACTTTACATGTAATCAAAATAGTTTGTTTTTTTTAGTTTTATATTTACTATGTTTTCAAAATATTTTTTTACTTGAAAAATACTTTTTATTTTAAATCTTCCTATTATACGCCACACCATTACTTGGTACAAGGTACATTAAGTTTGTCTGAATGTAAGCCACACCTATGATACCGAAGACTGGACTTGTCTGTCCGAGTGATGGCTCCCCATGTACTTATGTTTTTCAACCAACACGTCTCAATTTACAAATGTTAGCAAGCAAGTAGAATCTCGTTTTTAGAACAGACCAAATAGGTGGTTTTTACGCTTTACTCCATTTGTGGTGCGCGGGTATATTAACTTTGCACCGATAGATAGATCTATCGTTACAGTCCCCTTTTGAATCGATATGAGCTTGCTTGTCCGTTTCACCCGCTTGTTTTCTTGTGTTGAACTTATAGGTCCTAATTCCTAAGGTTTTTTGGTGTAAAGATGAAGGCTACTGCGATGGGAGTATATTTTCCACCACTATTTTCCATACGGCATCTTATGTTGGAAAGTCGTCATATGAATAATTGTATTAAGTAAAGTGATGTACGTATTTAACGGGTGGGTTGCAGCCGTCTGCAAGGTTTTTATTTATTTTTTTTTTTTAATATTTACTTCTTTGGGAATGACTTTAACGTCTTCAGACTATCCCACCTTTTATGTAAGAACACAAGCGGGTTATTTTATACTCACTACCGGAGATATCAGAATTTTCTTAATCAACGAAATTTATGTGTTATTATTTAACGCAAGCTCTATGCAGTTGGAATTTGTCTGTCCATAGGTTAATCGATACGTTATTAAAGATATTGAAATGATATAAAAAATTGAAATTTCAACTGTAGATTTTCGATCTAAAATATAAGCCATAGAACTAACAAAGGATCTAACGAATAAGTATATAATAGCTAAGTAATCGTGTCTGAATTACGCTTGAAATGTGCCTTAGGTCGGAATTTTCATAACTCCTTCGACGTTGATATTTAAAATTTTATGAAATACAAATCTCAGTTTAAAATTGCTTGTAGCTCTGCTAAGTAATGGGATACGCGTTGATCATTGACATACTTTCAGTTAAGGAAAGGTTTTGTGATTTATATGCATTTATTTGAAAAGCACTGGATACCCCAAGATTCAAGCCAAAACTAATAAGGTTTTCTTATGTTTCGCGTATGCTTGACCTGCTTCCCTAATTTGTAGATAATTCTTCTACAATTTATTTGCTTATACTCTTTTTTTTTTTTTTTTTTTTTTTTTTTTTTAATTTGTTTAAGTCCTCAAAAGATTGAAAACTCAAATAATTCTCATAATTTAACTCATTTGTAATACATACACATATATGCTTATATTGAATATTAACTAAATCTATCTCTTTACTAAAAAATTGAATATTTTTTAGACTATGGAATATATATATATATATATATGTATATGTATATATTGACCACTTCAAGTGCCATTTCTTCTTATTCTTACTTAATTGTTAAGTTAAAATAAATATAATTATTTCTACTTTTAAGTTAACCTCAGCACTTTTTTATGACAATTATTTTCATCTTAAGGTTCATCCTTAAATAGTTTTAAATTTAATTTAAGTTTTATTATAGTCTTCTCTTTGTAATTTTATTGTTAATTTCATACCCTACACCTACACTACGTGCGGTACAAATTGTATATTAAGTTTATGTGGATATGTTTAACGTCCAGAACTTGACTTGAAATTTTTTATTTAGAATTGTGCTCGCTTTTTATATTGAGTTTACAGATTGCAGTATTCGAGATATTTTGAGGATGATATTTGATGCGTTGGTATGTTTTCGAACATTTTATTGAGTCAGTCGATTCAAAATCATTTTCTGAATCCGTTTTAAGATTATAATCTAATTCTATACCGAACGTTTAGATCGCAGTATTCGAGACATATTAATGAAATTTGATTAACTGAATCAAAATGAATCAATTTAGAATCATTTTCTGAATCGATATAAGACTGTCCGTCCCTATTATATCTATTCTTGTATTTTTATATTGAACTTACACTTCGCAGTATTCGAGGTATATTGATAAAGTTGGATGCACTGAATCAATGTTAATTAATTTAAGCTTCACTATCCATATGATAATATGAAGACATGAAAAATTTTGAAAATTATTATATAAAAATTTGGACATGTTTAATAATCCCCACTTAAAATCAGTTAAAAAAAGAGAATTTTGGAAGATCAAATCAATATGTTCAAACTGGACGTGACAAAGCCATTTTTTAATTTGTCTATTATAAGCAAGCGCTTGTATGACAAACCAATTCTAATTTGTAATAGTTTATGACGAGTACTGATCCACAATTCTTATCGCACTTATGACCATGTTGGTCAATTTTCCAAATTCCTTCCTATATATAGGAAAGGCAATGCCGCCAACTAGAACTAATTTTTGACATCTTACGCAGCAAAATAGTAATGTAGGGTATTTAATAATCGGCCTTAACCGATCGTAAAGTTTTAAATTGTTCAGAAGACTACAAGAGTTGAACGTTTAGCTTGTATTTATACATATACTTAGTTATTATCAACGATATGAGTGTCGGTTGAGATTTGTGTACAAAAAAAGAAAGTTTTAAAATAACAACAACAACACAATAAACACATAATTTAATTTTTATTAATCGATTAATTTGTGGTAATACATACAATAAAATTAATTAAGATAAAAAAAAAATTTAATAAATATACAATTTCAATAAAATTACATTTAGATGATAAGATGATAGAATTATTAATATTTCTTTTATATATTAGTTTTTAATAGAAACTTGCTTATATTAAAAGGATATTGAGTAAGTATGGGTGCTTTACGTAACGAAATTGAAAATGGTAACGGATCCACAGATTCCTGGAAACGATTTATAGAGTTCCCCGTTACAGAGTAAATTCTATACCGAATTGAAAATAGTAACTGATCCACAGATTCCTGGAACCGATTTACGGTCCCCGTTATCGAGCAGACTCGATATCGAATTTGCAGTTTGGGTTGATGGTTAACGAATGCTCCGTAACGAGAATTCAGTTGATGTCACTCGATAGCGTGTGAGCATTTGCTCGACATCGAATGTAAAATGTCGCATTTTAGCTCTAAAGCAAAAAACTAATATTTGATGAAATTAAAGAACGCAGGAATATCACTTAGACTCGGCAATTCCAACATGTTGGCAAAAATAGTAAAATAAAAAAATTATTTTCGCCACTTTTACCTCTTGGTGGAGAGCGGATAAATGAATATGTCATTAACGACCGCTGACAGGTCTCGCTATCGAGCTCGATATCAACCTTGCATCTTGGGGCTGATGATTCTCGTTGAAGAGCCTTTGAGAACAAGAATTGAGTTGATGGTAGTCGATAACGTCATTTTGTTGTACGCACAGTGATGATGTTATAAATATTCCATTGTAAATAGAACGAACCTAAGTCGATATCGTGTTATAGCTCGAAAAGTAGACTTGCAAACCGGTCCAACATTGCTGGGGATTGTCTGAAGTAAAATTTTCAAAATTTATATGTTTACACGGCTCGATTAATTTCGCCAAATCATCCGATGGAAGTTGAATTTCATATATTTGAAGTTACTTTTTGGAGTCAAGATGTACGCAGCTAGAAGCCACAATAGAAAGTCGTCCTTTATTGAAACCTGCTTACATGCTACGCGGGTGATGGTTTCTGTTTTAAAGTGAAAACTACAGTGAGATAGATAGAAGGCTGAAATGCTCCACATTTACTTATGAGAAACTTTTCTTCTCATATACAAAAATGGAGAAGATCGGCCTTGCCCCCACATTCTTCCAAAGTGGCAAATGGCACACATAGCAAGCATTTAATATCGCAATAAATGAGTTATTTATTTTTCTATTAAACTGACTGCATAAATACGTCATTCATTCAATAAGTGCGTAAGATGATATAAAGATGTTGACACTACTGACAAAACCATTTGACTTTTATGGAAAACGCTGCGTGTTCCAATAAATTTTCATGACATCCTGAGAATTAGTTTACAGGTTACACTGATCTTAGTGACTTGCTTTGTAATTTTCACAGCAATGGATAAAGAAGGAAAAGTACTATTCAATCTCAGCAGAGACTTTGGCAGTTTTACGGCATTTCTTCTCCTTCGAACACAACAATTCGTCGATGATTTACTGAATTTCGAAATTCGGCAGTTGTTTCAGAAGCATTTTGGAAGAGGGAAAAATGAAGTTGCTTGTGGTAAATGACATCCTAAAGAACATTTGTCCATGAGAACGGTTCATACGAGGTAGACGCCGCCTTTGATTGCTCCTTTTTCAGAAGAACGTAATGGCGATTCCGAGCGCTGGTTACAAATTTTTTATGAGATAAGTGACCATAAATGATCTATGGATTTATGACATGTAGTCCAGAGCCAAACCGGTAGTCAGCGCAGTGAATAGCAACTGGTAAAAGTCGTCCAAAGCTAACAAAACAAGCAGCGCTAGTAAGACAAAGTTCGTTTGATAATTGGTACTATCTAAAAACTACATGGATTCGCCAATAGTGACGACGTCTACATATGCTATGTCCTGCCAACTTATTGAGCGACTTGTTTCATTCAACTTTCAGGTGATAAACGCAATCTAATTTTTTTAGAAAAAATCTTTATTAAAATCAATAACTTTTTTAATTACGTTTCTCTGATAAATTTTTGAAAAACCCAAAAATTTTTTAATAAAACCCTTTACAGCTAATAACTAAAATTAAGCACTTAAAAAACGCAAACGAATGACTTTACGCAAATACATCTTCACGATCGGCACCAGAACCATCGCCAGCATCTTCCAGATTGGCGAATAATAAAAAGTGTGAAGGTCGATGAATTTCATGATAGAATTCCTTAGGATTGGCCAACTGTAGGTCATATTTCATATTGGGATCATGGCGTACGCCCATGAAATTGTAATTCCAGCTGCCTTGGGCCGGTACCATAAAGAAGCCTAAAAATTTATTTGATAATAACATTTGTACACGTTCGTAATGCGACGGTAGATAGCCCTTAGGATTGTTGCCTTTGTCGGTGTTTTTCGAGCCCCATTCAAAGCCAGAAGGCGTTAACTTATACGCGGTAAGGGAACAAGAACCAGGTGTGAATGAGCAGGTAATAACAATCGTTTTCTCACCATCCCAACCAGGGTTCTCTTGCATTATTTTGGCGTGTGTTGTTATGTCCTGCGGCGACAATTGCGGCAATTCATTTGGTTGAGTGTGTATCCAACCTAACGGTTCCATATCTTTAAGGTATTGATGCGTGGGCAGGGCATTGGGTAAATTGATAGTCTGATGTGTGCCCCATTGCGGAGGCATAACTATGCAACGTATTTCCTTCACCTGGGGATTATCCGGTGGACTTATACCATATAGATAGCCAGCAATTTGAGCTCGCAGATCTGAGATAGTAACGAATTTTTTTAATATGTTTTTAGGCAATATATATGTATAGCCAGTTTCTTTAATATCATCTGAACTGACATATATGTGATTCGTGCGCAAGTGCAAGTTCGTTGCGGAAATTGCACGCACACGCCATTCAGTCTTCGAGCTAAACGTCTGCGTTTCATAATTCGAAGTGGTAGAGGTAATGATTTCGTCGCCATGTTTATTTGTCGTGCGTGTCGTGGTCGCAGTAAGTTGATTTTGCTCCTTAGTTTGTTTTTCAATTTCGGCAATTTGTTGTCTCTGAGCTGAGGGAGCGCTTATTTCCATACCCAATATGATGTCACGAATTTCGGACTGTGTAAGAGAGGCCACGTTCACGTTATTTTTCTTGCCGTAATCGGCTAGGATTAAATCTTTTAATTGTACTTCCACTTTAATCCATTCCTCATCCGTTAGTGTTGGCCAGATGTGATGAGCCTCGGTAATGGTAGTCTTATCCGGTTTCAATATAATTTTGGTACGTTCCGTATTGACATGTAAAGCTCGTAGTATCAAAATTAAGCGACTAAAGGCCGTGTAAGAGGAAATTGTCTTCAGCCAGTCATCGTACAGGTTGAATAAGACCATTTGAGGCTCGGTGGCTTTTAAAATCAAATCTCCGAATTTTTCCACTTTAAGGCAAGCTTGGAAAGGTAATTGCAATTCCGAGCCTTTAATAACGATATTAGGAAAGTCTAGCAAGTGCACTTCCAAAGGATCTAACATGCCTTTGCGCGTTACAATAATTTGTTTGGGTTGCTCTTCAACGGGAAGTGAACGAATAAGAGCCGCTACTTCCTCAGCGGTTTTCCATTTAGCCAATTGGCCTAAACGTTTCTGACCCGCCCATACTGAAGTATGAATAATTTTTAAAAAGAGTTGTCCCGTCCTTGGATTGAATATAAAAATGGCTCCATTAATTGGTTTTGTCGTTAAATTACCTTCGAACGTTTTATGTATGGTCACTCGATACACATTAGTATCGTCCACAAACCAAATGATCTGATTCGAGAAGAGTTCACCGTAGTTCTGAGAACTCAAATAAGGCTCTGTAGGCTCTGACGAGTACAATTGCAAGGCTTTGCGTATTCGTTCCCGTAATACATACAATGCAGGATTCGCTTTCATAATTTTCGCCATAGCCTGCTGTATAAGGGTTTTACAACCCGGAAACCAGTTGCCATAAGCTGAATGCAAATTATAAGCCAAGTCTATAGCTATTAGAACTCCAGTAGGCGAAGGATAAATAGACATGTTATCAGTAGTGTAATCCAAAAATTTAGCTCTGGCATAGCGTTCTACATCATGTGAATCATAATCACCCCAACGCAATTGAATGTCAAGCCAATATTTTTGCGTAGTGGTATTATCCATAGTGTCTTTTGTGTCAGCCAGCAATGAAGGTCTCGATACATTCCATTTATAGGCGGGGAAAAGAAGGATATCCGCACACGACGAGTTCATTTTGTATGACTTACGTGGATGTATTGTTTCTTTTTGTACCGTTTCAATTTCTAAAGCGTCCAATTCTTGATCAAAGACTTGACACAAATCCATTACTATCGATTCGTGTATTTTTTGCCACAAGTGAGCTCGGAAAATTTGAATAAGAGAGATTTTAAGTGTGGGTATTTTACCGTGCATGAAAATACCAGTCAAATCCAATTGCACCTGGAAACCAACGTAGACATTGGCTCGATTTATTGTAGGTGACCACCACAAGGTGAAACGTCGATTTGGTATTTGATTTAAACCTGAACGTTGAGCATTGGTTAACTTTTTATACTTCATGGATTCTTCAAAACCAGAAGCCTTTTCCCAGAAGAGACCTTCCCACGTCGGGAAATAGGTACCCTTGAAAAGTGTATGCTCCAAAATACCTTCAACTCCGCCCAAAGCTTGTATCATATCGGTACGATAATTGTTAAGATTCCATAATTTGCCGTCATGACGTTGATGAGTCCACCAGAATGGATTTTGCTTTAATACCTGATACTGTTTAAATTCGGTACGTATACGCCAACCTTTATCATAAGCTAAGGTATGACGATCCTTCTGGAACAATGTATTAATACGAGGTATACCACGATCCCAGCTATCCTCTAAGTCCTCTAAAGTTAAACGACGATTTTGAGTGCTGGCCTCTTGACGTTTTAAAGCGTATTCAGCCCAAACGCGCTGCGAATCAATAAATTCACTTTCCCACGGTTGTATATACCGATAAAGATTTGGTATCAATTGATCCTCATCGTGGGACATACCTGCACATATATTATATTAAACGAAATTACATTGATTTCTATTGCGTTATTTACCTGATCTAAAGTGAGTAATGCCTACATCGGTTTGCTTAGACCATCTTAAATCCGACTGAGGTATCAGGACATGACCCATACTTAACATACCCAAGCCACCCAATTCCTTGGGTGTATAAAATACCACCGGAGGGAAACGAGAAGGCATTTTCGAATTTAATCCAATTTTAATACGTGTCTGAATTTTATTTTCACACTTCACCAGCAAATCAAGCAATTCTTGAGTGTTGACCACGGCTTCTCGGAAATAAGTCATTAGGCCAATCAAAGCAGTATTCCATTTATTAACGATCTGTAGAAACGAATCCATAAATTTAATTTGAAATTGAAAAATTCAGTGCGAGAAACGCTAACCTTAGTAAACGTTGTCGATCCGGAAGCCATTAATATCTGCCTTACTCTATTGTGAAAGCGACCCAAAGACTCATCATCTACTCTTAGAAAACACTGAGCGGTACGTTCTTTTGTTACTTCGTTTTGTAAATTCCAAACGCCATCGCGATGAGTAAATTCGTCATGTTGTGTACGACACTAAAGAGATTGCAAAAATAAAAACAAAAAAAGTAGATAATAAAATTTTTCTTATCTTAACAATCATGTAGGTGTTGTAGAACCTTTGGTAAGATACGACATTCAAAGCCGCACATATTGAACAAGAGATTAGGATTATCCTTTGAATAAACCGAAACGAAAGTATTCTCCCAATTGATTGTCGTAACAGAACGAGGTAGACGATTTTTAATATCCCAAAAAACAGCACGACCTCTGAAAATGCGTAGAAATGAATAATCGTTCGTATGAAACATAAAGCCATGCATTTTAAGTCTTACAAGTTAACGTCATGTTTCATTAAACGCATACGAGCATCTCTGGGCCAACATTTTTTATTATTATAACCTACGATATTCTCATTATTGGGATCTGGATGTTCGGTTAAATATCGTTGTATTAAATCTCGTGCCTCTTCAGCAGTAAATCTAAAGAATAAATGTATACGATCCACATAACGGCAATACAAACGGATCGGATGGGCTGTTTCGGTGACGGTATCTTGGAATGTTAGAAAATCGTTTGGCATTTGAGGCGGTCCGGCCATTTCACTTGCTCTGTGCAAACCCAGGACCAATAAATCCAAAATCAAACCATAATATTGAACAATAAATGATGAGAATTGCAGACCACGTATTATGCCATAACTGTTGTTATGATTCATATCCTTGTAATTGATGATAACATTATGTTTAGCAGACATATAATCGGCAATATTGTGGTCCACGATTAGACGTAGCAAACGGTTCAGCAATGTCAAGTCAATCTTCTCGTAAAGCTTTTCAAAACGTGATTCCAATAAAACGTTACATTCGCCCTCACCAACATCCCAAACATCTTGCAAATTATTAATGCCTAAAAGAAAATATTATTTCGATTAAGACTTTCGCTGATAAATTCCCAACAGATACACATTTATTGCGCCTATGATGGCTATTTTACACTGCTTATGGCATAAATTAAAATTTGTGATAAAATATATAAAATTCAGTTTTATTGTGTTATTCTTCAGCGTTGCGTATTTTATGTATAACAGCCGCTAAAAATAAAGCTTCTAAAGAAAAACAGAACGAGAAAATTATATTCGGCCGCAACAGAGTCTTTTATATTCATCAACGCTGAAAACTGATCAATACAATGTAGACTTTGTCAAGTCTGTGAAGGTCTTCTTCTCGATGCTGTAAATGTTTTAAAAAAAGATTGAAATTTGAACATTCTGTAATATTGAGTAGGTTTGGCCGATTTTGCCCATGTTGGTGCAAGTACTACAAGATCACCCCATAAAGTTATAAATGCCAATTTTTTTCATTACATCTGTTGTAGTGTACAAGTAACAAGTAAAAAATTTTTTACAGTTATGTTGTGCGGTGGCCGTGATTTTTGCGATCAAGACAAACAGGCAGACGGACGGATGCTGCTATTTATTTCATGGTGCCCTGAGACTTCCTTTTGAATGCTGGGAAAATTTTGACAAAATGAGCGTAGCCTTTACCCTTCAGTGATGGGTATAAAAAAGGAAATCGTATCAAAAGGAACCTTGGACGATGGAAAGTGAAGTCAATAGTAAGAGGTACGACACAGTGAAATGAGAATTCATATTTCATTAATTTTATTACGAGTTTCAAGTGATTATTGATTGATTCGTCGCGTGGAACAGACAAAGCGGTAAGGAAGAGCTACATGTCTTTCAGTGGTCTGAACAACACTAACTTATTTGCAAAAATTACCCAGACCTGAATCGTTTCATGGGAGCTATTCCGAGGGTATATCATAATGTTCGCTTAGCATTCTTTTACTCTTAACATTGCACAATGCATTCGGATGTCCTGATCTTTCCCTCCATAATAAATCCCACAAGCTTAAGAGAAATATTCTAATAATTGTGAATCGAGTTTGATGACGACTACCTTTGTTGAAATATCCTATGCACATGTAGATATTTACAATGTCAAGAAACGACTGCTATTACAAAGTGCTCGACCGCTCTAATTGATTTAACAATAAACGGAATAAAAATAAAAGTTTGCGTAGTCACCTGCGATAATAAAGATTAATTAATTGAAAGGAATATGTTGCCCTCGTCTTTGTCGTTTGAAGTATTTTTACCTGAAAATGTTAGCCTTAAAGGAAGTATAAAAGCTATAACACGAAGTGTGAAGACTTTAACGAAGCCAACAAGCCAAGAAGCTTACAAATAAGTGCGGACAGAAATGCTACTAATCGTTAAAAACTAGTTTTTTTTTTTTTTTTGTTTTTTTTTTGTTAATTATTTGTACATTATTGCTCTATATAAGGAACCGGTTATTGTTGGAAACTAAATTGTTCACCACTACTCCTACTTTCATCGTACTCGTCCCAAGAAGAAAAGCCCATACGCCAGCTTAACTGTATAAGTCGAGAAAATTATTTTTCTTAGCAAATAAAAAAAAACTTTATATTCCATAATGTTCCGGCGACTATTTGTCGCAAGGCTATTCACATCACTTGTTTTCATTACGGTGCTTATCCACCCAACCAGCGTGAGGTTTGCAACAAGGGGATTTCACATACAAATCACCTTGCTTCAAATCACACGACAGACGGACAGATTTTAAAAATTGTAAATTTGATTATCTCGATTATATCGAAATTTTTTAAAAACCTTACCTTGACACCATTTATACGCTAACAATGGGGGTGGTTCAGTATCGCTTGGCTTTATCCAAGGCGGAAATAGGCGTCTCTTATCGGCTTCATACCATAAATATTGATCTAAATAAGCATCGGTTATCTTTTCTAAAGGTTCCACGTCATAAACAGGTATTAAATGACTGTACAAGTCCATGAATTCAATGCCGACCTAATTGAGCAAAAAAGAAAAAAGAAAAAAAAAAAACGCATTTCTTTCAACATTTTCTTTTATATGAAGTAAACCTACTAACCTCCTTGAAATTCCTTTGCGTTAAAAGATGACGCTTAATACGCGAGAGAGCTTCATGAGGATTATCATAAGCTTGCTCTATTAAACCCAATTCCTCACGTTGTGACTGATTTAAACGCGATTTAACGCTGTAAGCTTCCTTTAAACGTTCCAAAGCTAATATTAAAAGTTTAGTGTCATGTTTGTACGATAAAGGAGGAAACGGTATGGGCCCGAAGCGCCTCGACTCTAACCAATGCACTGTGGTTGTATAAATTGCTACAGCTTCTTCCGGTGAAATATAAGGACCATCTTTAAGGTAATTATGCTGACGTTCTTGTTCGGCTTTTAAATACAAACGTGTCAAACGTCCTAAATTCTTTTTACAAACAGTTTTATCGACGGTCGCGCCACGTCTAATGCGCTCGCGATTATAATGAGCTGTATTTGTCCACCAATCCGCTTTCATTTTGACATAACGTAATATCATATTTTCAATAGGTATTGGTAGACCAGGAACTTTCCAGGGTATGTTAGCTTTCCAGCAACGCCATGCCTCTGACAAATGTTGCAAAATTGTACGTGCCTTATTTTGCTTAATTCCCTCTGGCATCATGTCTACGATATCGTGCATAACCGAGGCACGTAATTCCAAATCGAAATGCGATTCGACACGTTGTTTAGTCACCGTTTTGGCTACACCTTTCGAGTGACGACCTTCAAATTGGCGAGACAACAAATTGCCGAGCCAACGCTCCAGTAGCGGTGTTATACCGCGCATAAAGAACAGCCATACACGCCAACCGGGCGCCCAAAAGCCGCAGCCAGGTCCTTTGCCAACAGGACCCTTAACAAAAAGAATAATAGATTTTCACTTGAGCTCTCACAATCCATTAACAATTTTCATAATTACCGTGTTGAAACGATAGTAAATTAAATGCTTCAAATCCTTACACATGCGTATCTGACGCATCAGTTTATACTTATAACGATACATTCCCGTAAGTTGACCGACATGAGCAAAGATATATTGCAAGCCGTCAGCCAATTGAAAGGCATCGACATTATTTAAACGATATTGCACGTGAGAGTCAATGATTAATTTAGTTAAACGTAAAATTTCGCGACATAAATGAAAAGCTGCAAGAAATTAATTCAAATTAATTTTCATTTTCAAAAATTTAACGAAGATTACCTACCATTGCCGAACCTAGACTTTTTACGTTCTTTTGTGGTTAAGGTTTTCACTGGTTTCAAGTTGAAATTATAATCCAAGTGAAGATAATTTAAATTCTTACGATGTATTAATAAATTTAACATATTGTAACCTTGGCGGCATACCTGCAGGCCAGCCTCCACCCAATCTAAAGTAGTAGTTTGAAAGAATTTGGTGGCCTTAAAGGACCGGAATAAATATCTGCAAGACATTACGAAAGCGGTGTCTTCATAGACTCTTTCAAACAATAGTACAAGTTAGGAAAACTCACCTTTTCTTCTGTGGTTTAGGACGTCGATGTTTTAAAGCATTCAAGACGTAATACTTTAATAACTTTTGGTAACTAACTCTTACTTTGACAGGATGACCCGGCGGACAATGCTCTTTATACCAACTTTTCACTAAAGGTATGTCTATAGCTCGCCTACAGCGACCGGAGCGTAAGTTAAATGGTCTTGGAGCCCACAGCAAGGCTATCCCATTCGCTGTGTTGTCTGTGAATAAAGGAGTGTCGTGTAGAAAGACCTTTACATCGTCGGGTAAAGTGAAATCTTCATCGTCATCTAGTAAAGGTTCTTGGATTTTAATGTTGGCATGACGATGTGAAATTGGATTAATCAAAGGATCAAAATAGAAGGCTGGCAAGTCAGGATCTTCAGTTTTAATATAAACCACGTTAGGTGTATGATACCTGGAATGATGAACATTAATCAAAAGTCATTACATTGCCTGGTAAATCATTAGAATCTGGCTAAGAATCGTTTTCAATATCATTTGCTTTACACGGCAGCGTGCTATTATTATGTTATTATAATCCACTTAATCTAATGATAAATGCTAGGGAGCAGCTTGCTGTCTACTTTTACTAGAATAAATTGGACTGCGAGCTTATCCTTTCTGGTATATTTATAGATTCAAGTGATGTCTCCTTCTTCTAATTCTGTATCGAATGATTCGTTTCAAAATATGTAGTTAGAAAGGATGCTTCACTAAGGGGGAAAAATGTAAATTCGTTTATGATTTGTCAAAAACTAATGAACTATTTTCATTGCAGAAATCTTGACCTCTTAGACATCCTACGATCAGGTTGATCACTCAAACAAACGCTTTACTCGACTGCAATCTAAACGCGCTAAAAACTCTGTGTCTAGATTGATCACTCAAATGATCACCAGCGGCATTTGGCGATCAGAAAAAACAAAACAGCATAAATCCAACCTATGTCAACCTATGGTTTTACGCTCTTTAAGGGATCATAAGTAAACTTACTGGATTTATTGAGTTATACACGATGGATGTTTGTTTTCTTTTTTTCAAAATCTGTTAAATATAGTGAAAGAACAAGATTGAAATTAGGGTAAGAGAAATACGAACGACGATCGTATTTTAAAATTTTTCATAAATTTTTCCTTTAACTTCCAGTTCTCATGATAGACAAGAGCACTTTTATAGCATCAAAAGCATTTCTATCTTCTCTGCTCCCTTGCTTTACTTCACTTAACATTTAACGGCTTTCATATCCGTCTTACACCGTGAATGCAACTACGACAATAACATTTGTAAATGTATTTGCAGAGTTATAGTTTGTTAGAAATAATGTCCGCTCTGTGCAGCAGCATAAATTTATTGCCTTTCAAAATAAATACTTGCTTTCAGCAGAGCACCTTGAGAACTTTTTTTTAAAAACGCTTTTTTTAGTAGTAAGTTTTCCTATGAAGGCGTGTTTAATGTATCACTTTTTTCATAACTGAATATAATCGAAAATCTGATTTTATTCGAAATTTCAATATTCTTTAAATAAAAGTGAAGGAGGATAGGTTTTAAACAAAAAATAATTCAAACTTACCAAGAGAGATGAACAAAGTGAGGCATGTTATTATAAAGGTAAGGAAAAGCTATACGATATTCCGTGCGTATCGGTTGACGTATAATCACTTTATTAATATCATTGAATTCGTTCCAATCCTCGTCTCTATAATGAAATTAAACTGAATCATTTTCAACGTTTTTCCGCGTCTTATTACTATTTTCTACTCACCCTATATTGTGATCTTTAATTAAAGGTTCAAATTTTGGTCCGCCCGGTATTGCCATATTTAAAGCTTTTGCGGTAAAGAAACTTTTCGGGTCAAAGAGATAAAAGAAATTATCATCCACCAAATCAGTCAATAATTGATTGGCTAGGCGATACAAAGTGGCTAATTGTGGTAAAGTCAAATTCCATTTACGATAAGTAGATCCATTAACGTATGGAGTACCCACCAAAGGGCGATGGTCATAAAACCACTTATATACGGCACCATCTTCTTCGGTATCTAGTTCAATCTGTATTGCTTCTAACGGTTCGACGTCCAACACGTTATCAGCATAGTCTAAAGGCGGCTCTTCATCATCAAAAGGAGGAAAACGCATACGTTTAAAATGACGCCGATCACGTTTCTCACGACGCATCATTATCCACATAGTACCCCATTGAGCTATATAGACAGGTTCAATAACCCAAGGAATTTCATTTACAAATGTTATCGCTCCAGTGATATGATAAAGTACTTGAACATCTCTTATTTGCTCCCAAGGCATAGGCATATTTTCCAATAATTTCAAAACTGCGTGAGGCATATATTTCAAAGCACCTAAATAGACACGCTTATCATGACGATATTTACGTGACGTCATATCACCATGATCACGAATAATCTTGCGTATATGCTCAGGCGGCATATCTTCTTTCTGGGCGTCTACGAAACCGAATTTGCGTTTCTCAGCGAAGCGTTTCGACTGCAATTGCTGCCACTTTAAAGCCTTTTCCTGCAGTTTTTCCTCCGTCAAATCAGGCTTAGGTGTTGGTATTTGTCCAAGTTGAGTTTGCACCGTCGAAGCTGTCACACCTGTTATATGACTTGTGTTAGAAGTTATCGGTTGAGGCGCTGGCGGCAAGGGAGCACCCGGCGGTGGTATTTGCTGTATTTGATTGGCTTGCAGCCGAGCTTGCTGCACCTGAGCGGCTGCTGCGTAAACCTGCTGCTGGGCCATTAACTGAGCGGCCCAAGCATTCGGCATCATATAGGGCGGCAGAGACATTTTAAATGAGCTCTATATCTGCCCTATATTTAATTGTTTAATACTGAAAATAACAAAACATTACTTTTTCACAACTTTAATGTACATTATTTTTTGTGTATATATACGAAAGCACAATAGATTTTTTCGCTGCCGGAGACGTCTCAAAAAAAGGGCATGCTTATAGCAGAATTTTTATTTAACATTTTACATATAAACAACTCGTCATTTCACCATATTTTTATACTCACTCTTTGTATTATTTACTAATTAATAAATTTTCTTAAATTTTCCTATACTTTAAGAAATCTTTACGTATTTTTTTCAAGAAATTTCACAAGCAGTAAATATAAAAGCGTTTTCTATAAGAAAATTTTTGGTAGACATTTTTTCACGTAGCATTGCCAGTCTACACTACCTACTATAAGCATTAAAATAAGCAAGAAGACTTCAACCCTCCTGCTGTATTTATATAGCGAGCTAATTCCCATATAAAGGAACGGTGGATGATTTGGCAACTCTGCTGAGTAAAAAGTAATTTTTAAATAAGAAGTCTTTCCTTCATTTGTGAAAATTTTGCGTGCAATCTCACAAAGGACATCCATAGGAAAATACAGCAAAGTAAATTTCTAAAAAGGACAAAAATTTTAACCGTGGCGAAGATACTCCACCAAGATAATACACGTTTTTGCGGCTTGCGTCTTCGCTAAAATGTCTTTACTACGCTGCGGTTTATCGTGAAGTAAAAAACAACCAAGAAAATATGAATTAAAAATCAAGAAATATAAGTTATTGCCATTAACTCTCACGCACATTTACAGTATAAACGTTGAAAACTAGAAAGAATGCAACGTTCAAATTATAACAATTTACGTTCTATCCTTCTATCTATTCATTCAATTCTAGATTTTAGACATGTTTTGAAAATTGCTGAAATCTATAAGGAAAATCCAATTTCATTACGGTGGGTAGGCCACCTATTCACATATTTCAAACGCACTAAAACGTATTAAAAAACTACTTTAAACAGCTTCGTTTAAATTTGTTACAACACACTTTGCATGGTAAATATTAACAATGCATTTTTTTAAATTCTTTATAACATCAAGAATGATTTCTTTTTTATTTTAGTTTTTCTCATCATTTTGTTGTTCTTTCAATATAGTTCAGTTATCAATTACCTTACCATAAGCGCGAATTAAGTGTGAAGATAATCCACTTTTTAGCAAAGACAAAAATGTGAGTTCTGTTACGTGCGGTGAGCTAACTTCATGAGACAAAATTTTAAGAGGGTAGACCACTGTAACGGTTAAAAAAAAACTTTTTTTGTAATGCTTTTTTAAATTGAAGGAAAGTTAGCATAATATTTGAGGAAGTTTTACGTATTAGAAAAGAAAGTTATATTTGAAATATATTAAAAAATGGCAGCGCCGCAGCTATTTGCAGTCGAAATCGTTTTATCTACATTCCTATATTTAGTGAAGCATGCAGAGGTTTTTAAAATTATTGAATGTTGTGTAATTCGAGGATGTTTGACTGAAAAAGTGCGATTTTCGACCAAAAAAATACTCTTTTATTATGGAAAAAGTTCCATGTGTTCCACTGGAGGATGTTGTTTCGATAAGACAATAAAATATACTTATGAAGGAAATGAAAATAGTTTGCGTTATGCTGCTTGCCAATTTCAAAAATTGTCTCTCGAGGTAATGGCGTTCAGAGTTTTGTCATATCCTTTTTTTTATAGCATGAAACTGCTCCTCCAAGTTCAAATGTTCCCCCTCATTGTGTTTTCTCGATGATTTGAAGCTACAGGATGGTTGTTTTGCCGCATCTGCCAAGGAAAGATTCGCACGTGTTACACCTTACTTCGAAATGATTGAGGACCAAGGAAATATAAAATTTAATACCAGAGTTCATAATCAACTTTTAATTTAATTGATAATAAGCTCTTAATAATTAATCAATCTGATATATCTTATATTATATCTTACATTCATATCGCTTTGAAATTTCTTATTATTTCCTTTAGTTGATTTTGTTGCTGTTTTGGAGTACTACCTGTGCCTGACATGCCCGCCAAGTATAGATCCCTCTCATGTGAATTCTTTAAAGCGTAAAAGTAACTTAACTTGAATAATTTAAATTAATTTAAAAAAGCGAATTTATTACTTAAAGATTTTAAAGATTAATTATAATAGTATTAAGAGTTAAGTACATAAAAACTATGATAACGAAATAGCAATAATTTTAATCAATTCTAAAGAGATGCATTTTATGTACAACAACAAAATACCAACGGCACTGGATACACACATAGTACTATATTGAGATAAAAAATATGCATTCATCTCCCCTTGTACGTCTCCTCAATAGTTTTATACAATTTTTATAGGCGTGCCATTCGATTTTACCCTATTTTGAAAAATTTAATGTTAATTCTTTCCATATATTCATATTATCGAACGCATTAGCAAAGTTTGGCAACCCTAAATTGTATGAGCAAGAGGAAGAATTGTCAAAAGTTTATCCAACTGTGCATAAAAGTGTGACCAACTGTGCATAAAAGTGTACCCAATTATCAAAAGAAAAATACACTTTTTAAGTGTTTTCAAAATGGCAAAAAAATAACATCCAATATTATGGAAAATGAAAAAAAATTTTTTTTTAAATTTTGGAATAATTTTTAATTAAATAAAGTCACATGTTTATTTCAATATGGATTTGTTTTTTATTATTCCCTCGATTTCTGCGGCGTTTGGAGTTTTTGGCCCGTTTGGGTGGCGTGTTTGAATTATTTCCTCTACGGCGCCTTAGCCTCTCAATTTTGTGGCGTAAATCATACTTCTTTAGCTCTATCGGGGCTCCCCGTTTTTTCCCTCTTCGCCTGTTTCTTTTTCGTTTTGGCGGCGTATGGATCATACTCGGCTTGGCGTGCATCCCGCCGCAAAGTCGTTCTTAGGTCTGAAAAGAAAATATATTATTGCTAGTGGACGGTAACGAAGTTGGAGTAGGAGCCGCTTTCTGAGCAGATGAAGCAGGTGCGTCTAACAAATTGACGGGTTCACCAATCTTCTGCACCTGATCGCCTGGATGCAAAACGGTCAAGCCCATAAATGAAGACACGTCTGAAAATAATAGAGAACCATTTCTTTGCTGTTTTTTCACGATTCTGATTAAAGACTAGATACTTTCCAGCATCGTTTTTGCTTACTATCGATGTTATATATTTATCTACTCTAATAATCGTGTTTTCCTTTAGCTGTTCTTCTTCGCATAGGAAATTCAAATGAGTAGAAAGCATTGCGTAGCTATTAAAGTATTGACCGTCCGAGATGATGATACGTATGCGCTCGCTTTCGGCAGTAATTATTTTCTTAACACCCAAAATTTGTAGGATAGGTCCTTCAATATCTTCGCCACTCATAATACGCTAAAATGCAATTTCACAACGGAAATTAATAGCACTAACTACAATTAGTCATTACGAACGACTTACAAGAATGACTCCTTCAGTTAATGGGGTTATATCAGGCATGCTGTTATTTGATTCAATTTCAGTTTATAGGCCTTGATTTAAGGTTTTTTATATTTTCCACGCAAAGCGTTTATTTAAAAAATACTAATCAATTTGAATAAAAGCTTATGGTAAGATTCTAATTTTTTTGCAATCAAGCGGGAAGACGCTTAAGCGAAAATATCAACGCTGTATTACATTAATAAATAAGTAAACATTCAACTGAACGAGAATCAACATTTGGTGAAGCAAAATTATTTACTGCCACAAATCACATTGATAAACTGTCATTGCTCTTTATAAAGTTCTTCCATGGAAAAATCGTGCGGTAAGTAAGAATTTTGAAATTATTATATCTTTGTCACCCCATTTTATCAAAGCGACAATAAACTCAAGGATTTCGTAGTCGACATAAACGTTTAAACAACTAATCCTTGCGAGAAAGAAAATAGTTAGTAAATAATACTTTTTAGTCATATTTTCAAAAACACAATAATATTATAAAGAAAATTTATTAGAACTATTTCTATTGAATTGTATGCATGACTTTCTTTTCAAACTTGCGGCGTTATATTATAGATAATCTTTCATGGATTTTGAATATTGTACTTTTTTCGTCTCTTCTTTTATTATCAGGTCGCTTATCCCTTTCCCCAATATTGAATCTTAATAGGATATTAAGATATTAATTGATATTTTAGGACTTCTGCAGACATCTCATTTAGTACGATAACCTTGAATGCCGATCTTTCTTTGTCTCTGTATTTAACATGCGCCCTTATGTCAATTTCATTATTTTTTAATATTTCGCCTTGGGCAAAAGCAATTATATCTTCACTTTTTTGCTCAGGACTACAATAGCTGAGATGAAGAGCTGTACTTTGGAGTAAAGATGGTGCTTTTTTTTTCCTTTTTGCTGATGAATAAGATTTCCTACATTTCAACTCGTTCGGCTCGGAAGATATATCTTCCTGTTTTATTGCTCTTCTGGGAAGACAAAGATAAAATGGCTACTGACGGAAAAATCGTATTAGATGATGGGGAAAATGAAGAAAACGACATATATCAAGTGGTACGACAGTGGCTTTGAAGCAGCTCGCGGTAGCAGCACAGCAGTAGTTGTCACAACCAGTATAGTACATGCATGTGCATGCATTTATGTGTATGTGCGTGTGTAGACAAAGAAAAGTAAAATATAAAATTTATGCATAAATTATAGAAAACGAAGAATAGGCCAAAGGTTTAGTTAAATTGAAAAAGAAAAGTATTTAAGCATTTGATGAAAAAAAAAAATTGTTTAAAACGAATTAACACAAAAAAAAAAAGGGAAAAGACATATTACGCGAAAACCGGAAATTTGTTAAACGCAAAAATATAAAATCCCAATAAATTTTATTTAATAGCACGAAAAACATTTAAGCATCCAAGACTGATTCACTCATTTTCACATTATTTTATTATATACTCAATAATTAATAAACGCAACTATATATAATATCCTATTTTATTATAAGCGAAAATTTAATTTTGATTCTATTTACTTCAATAATAATACTTTTAATAATTAACACTTCAACATAGAATAATATTAAAAAAATTAAAAAGAACAATAGGATTATTATTTATTAGAGTTATAGGGACGAAAGCTAGTTGATTAACTTTTCTAATCCTACGGAAAATTATTAACTTGTATTTGTATTGTGTATTAAAATAAATTAATAATGCAGTAGATAAATAAAAATGTGCAACAACAGAATACATATGTACCGGATTTACAATACAACCAAACGTAAAACTAAGAGATAAAAAGTGCTGAGAAAATAAAATTCAATCTCTGAGCGTAAACTTTACTTTGCTGTACATTTCTTATGGGTGTCCTGACTGAGCACGCTTCTGTTGAAATAAAGAAATCATAAACTATAGCAGATAATTGTACAAAAATTTGAAGGCACACTCTATGAGCGACACTGTAATACCGTATCAAAACATTATTTTTATTCAATACCTATATAAAACGCGAAAGAAATTTCCAAAACCCCTTAAAGTGTGTAAACTTTTGGTAAGTTTTGAATTTGAAATGCAAGTAAGCATGTCCGCTTGGAAGCCTGTTCATCCGTCCGTCTGCCTAGCTATGTCGTGGTACACATTTTCCCCTCCGCAAAAATGAAGCCATCGCTAAAACAATTAGGAAATGACTAAAATCGGTTAAAGGACGTGCTTACGACGCCAATATTTCTATTCAGCAAAAACTGTGAACAGCTTTGCGTTTTTTTGTTTTGCTTGTTACCCGTAATGTACGCTACACACACCACCTTTATTCTGAAAATAGAAGAAATCAGCCACGCCCATTCAATCTTATAGAGTATGAAAATTCAGTTCTTTTTTTTTTTTGGTCTCTTTTAGGATAACAGTAGCACGTATTCGATTGTTCTGGACGAGAGACGCAAGCGGTTACTTACCGTAGGGCAAGGTCGCGTAATGAAAGTGTAGGGTTTGTCGACGGTTTGGGCCGAATATCGAATTCCAAACATTTGGTTGTCATTATCAGTAACATCTGTTCAATTTAAAATTTTTAACAAGTGCAACAATGAAATAGGAGAAAATAAAAGCGTGAAATTACATCCCTGCACGAAGGTTGTTGTATTTGCTGAAATGAAACCAAGCAAGTTAAATGAAGTCAAATTGGAATAACACAATTTAGATAATGCATTTTATACATCAACTCTGGCAACTTGGTTTTTTTTTTTTATTTTGTAATATTTTCTTTTTTTTTTTAGAATCTGCTCCACGTATTATTGCGAACATCGATGTAGGGGAATCTAATAAATTCTTAAATATTGTATAGAAAATCCATTAAAAATTTTAAGTGTTCTATTTGAGAGTTAAAATTACATACGTATAATGTTTGTAAATTTGAAAAACAAAATAATCGAAGAAGTTAAAGCAGCTCAGGTGATTCCTTGAAATAATAAAAGAAAAACAAACATGATTGCGAGAAACGCAAACAATCCAATACAATAGCAGGCCTATAAATAAATATTGAACATTGTGTTTGATTTGACTTGTGCTAATTTGAACCCTGGATTCCTTGTTATGGTTAATTTAATTTTCATAAGAGTTGGTTTTTCTTCTTTTTTTGTTTGTTTTTAGGCTGCTGTCTCTTCATCTAATAGCACAACGCCCAGTGGTTCCGAATCCACTGCAACCACTAACACCAACAATGAAAATTTTTTTAGTATAACAGAAGAAGGTAACATATGCAATGGCAGCTAATCTAATTATAATAAATTTAATAAACTTATTGCTTAGATACACCACAAAATTCCCCTTTAAAACCAATGAGACTGCCTGGGATTAGGGGTAAAGCGGGAGCACAGTCTTTAAATAATGGAACAGGAGCCATACAAAGGGCGCGTAAATTGTCCAATTCTTCGATGGCAAGCGATGTCTCATTTCGTCTTCCCGCTTACGAAGGGGCACCGGTAGGTAGTTTGGTAGAGTTTATGTTAATATCACTATTCAACATCCCATGTACCCATGTACCCTTGACGCGTTTGGCTTTTTCAATATATGTATACAATTAAGCTCGTGTGTCCTTGAGTCCGGGGTTTATAAGCTGAAATTGGAAGTTGAAGTCTGGCAAACATATATGCTTATAACCGATGACGCAATGATTCCATAAATATGTGAAGATTAGTCAAGAAAGACGATTAGTTTTTAGACCTTCATATCGACTGAAACTTTCTGGCTAATATCTGACACAAAGACAGTATGATTATTATTTCTTTTTTTTTTTGGATGTAAGATTCGTTAAAATAAGAATTTGTTTTTTTAGATTTATCATCTTCAATCGGATTTGGATGAATCAGGTAGTGAACTGGGTGACACCAATTCATCAGCCAAATTGGACGTTGTTACTAAAGAACAACTTTTCGATGCTTATCGCAGATCTATTGATAACTATAATAAATATCGCAGCCGTTATATGGATTTAGCCAAAAAATATAAGGATTTAGAACGGGACAGTAGTAAAGCTAGGGTAAGTTCCTTTGCGATTTAATTATAAATCGTATTTAATTGTTTCCCTTAGTCGGTATTGATAGAAACTCAAGAGAAGGCAATACGACGCATTAATGAATTGCGTGAGCAATGTGCATTGGAGCAAGAGGCTAAAGCACACCTGGAAGAAGCTCTACGTGTTGAAATGGACGATATGGAATGTAAAATGCAAGCCTATCAAACCAAATTAAAGTTATTGGGTGAAAATCCGGAAAATATAGCCGCTGCATTGGCAGCTCGTCTTGACAATGGTAAAGAATTAATCGACTTGAACGAAGAACGAAATTTACTCGATAAAGATGTCGCCATTAATGGCGAAGACTCGAAGAAGAAGCTCAATAACTTAGAAGCTTTGCTTGAAGAAAAAGATCAAAAGATTAAAGAACTTGGTGAGAAATTTGATTTATTGCGTAAACAAGAAGACGAGAATTCTTTGCTGTTAGCTCAAACGAAAGCAGCTATACACTTGGAGTTGGAAAATAAAGAAGCTCAAGTGAAGAAACTTACAGAAAATTTGAAGCAGTTACAAAACGATTTACTTGCAGCTAGAAAAGAAGAAAAGCACTCTGGTATTCTAATCGAAGAGTTGAATGATTTGAAGGAGAAACTCAGGCAGACACAGTTATCAAAACAAGAATTGGACGCCAAGATTATAGCCACCGAACATATGCTGAATCAGTTTAAGGAGAAACAACTGGACAAAGATAAGGCCATTAAAGCATTGGAAGATAAATTAAAACTAGTAACGAAAGAAAATGAGGAAAAATTGCGAGAACTTACTAATCAAAACAATCAACTTAATGAGATAATACAACAATATCGACAAAATGAAGTCTCGTTAGCGGAAGTCGACAACGAACTAAATAGAACGAAGAATGAAAATGACGATTTAAAGAGAACTATGCAAGAGCATCAACAGAAACTTGAACAAATGGAACGTGAATGTAAAGATAATATAAAATTACAAGAGAAAGCCAATGAGGAATTACTGGCACAAGCTAATTGTAAAATTCAAGATTTACTTAATCAGCTTGAAGCGGAAAAGGCAAGTAGAGATAGTGCCAAACGTAAAGCTTTAGATTTGAAAGAACAGTTAGAGAACATTGAAGCTAAGAATGAAAATGAAACGAAATTAAAACTTGAAGAATTAACTAAAGAATTAAATGAAGTGCAAGAGCTTTTGAAAGTAAAAGAGAAAGAACTGAAAATCTTAACCAAAAAATCATCGAAAAATGAAAAATATCACGAAAATCAAATTGAGAAACTGCAAATGGATTTGCAACAGCAAGAGCAACTACTGCAAACATTGGGGAACGAGCATAAGCAAAAAGAAGAACAGGGGGACCGAGAGAAACAAGAGCTGAGACAGCAGGTGAATAGCATATTAAATGAGATTTCACAAATGGAAAACCAAATGGAATTAGTGAAGCAATCACACAACGAGTTGGAATCGGAGAAACATTTATTGGAGGAAAAAATCGAATTAATGAATCAGCAAAATCTTAATTCCAATGAAGATTCTTTACATTGGCGTGAATTGCTTAAAGAAGTCGAACAAAAGTTACGCGACACTGAGAGTAAATTGCAAGCAGTATTAAGCGAACACACCCAGTTGGCGGAAAAAAACTGTTTACTCGAGGAAAACACACACCGCTTAGAGAAATTATTAAGCGAAAGGCAACGTCAAGATGCTTCTACTGAGGAGGCTTTAGTTAGCGAATTGCGTTTGAAGTTGGAAACCAGTGAAAACTCTCTGCAAAAACTGAATGAAAAAATGTCAGAAGTCTTGGATGAGAATTCCCGGTTGCATAATAATCAAGAATTAAACGAGCACGATCAGCGTACCTTACAAGATAAATACGATACTTTAGAGAAAGAAAAATTTTGTTTAGATGATAGCAAAAAAAGTTTAGAAAATGATTTGAACGAATTAAAAGCAAGCCTTAATGAAGAAATTGATAAAAATCGAGCCCTTACTCAGCATTTGCAAGAAAAACAAAACCAAATTGACAATAATCGCGAGGCTGGGAAGAAGAAACTCGAAGAAGAACTAATATTAAAAGATAAATTAAATCAAGAGTTAGTTGAACTTAAGGAACAAATGCTGGAATCCTACAAGCTAAAGGAAGAATTAAATAGGTTTAAGCAAGAAGAAAAAGAGAAGGAATTAGAAAAAATGGGCTTAAACGAGAAACTAGAGAATTATAAGAAACGTTTAGAAGAATATGAAAAAGATAATGCCGAATTAAAAAATTTCATAAAAGAACTGGAAGAATTGAGAAACAATGTCAAGAAATTGAATATCGAAAAAAAAAATTTATTTCAAGAAAATCAACAAAAAACTGAAAACATGAATAAGTTAAACAAAGAATTGCAAGATTTTTCCGTGGAAGCTGAAAAACAAAAGGAATTTATTAAAAAATTAACAGAAGACATTTCAAATCTTCAAAAGCAAAATGAAACCGAAACAGATGAAAAACAGAAACTGCTAAAATTGATTAATACTTCGCAAGAACAATTAAATGATTGGCAAAGAAAGTTTGCGGATAAAATGACAGAACTTGAGAAAGCTCAAGAAAAAATCAATAAACTTCACGTTTACCGTTCAACCAATGAACAATTGGAAATCGAATGCGAATACCTTAACAGACATGTAAAGCAATTAGAGGCCGAGTTAGCTAAACATAATGAAAATATAAAATTAAAAGATTCCGATTCTGATGAACTTAAAGACAAACTCAAATCGCTGCAGTGTGAACTCTATGTACTTAAGGAGAGTCAAGAGCAACATGAATTGCAAAAATCGGAAAAAGACAGAGAACTACTAGAATCGCAAAAACAAATCAAATCGTTCGTAGAGCAATTGGAACAAGTTAAACAGGAATTACAAAGGCAAACAGATCATGTTAAATATATTACCGAACAAGATGATACAGTAAAAGCCGAATTACTTCAAACGCAAACTAAACTAAAAGAATTGGAAAATAATTATGAACAAAAATGTAAAGAATTGGATGAGATAAAAATTGAAACAAGTGATTATAATCAAAAATTCGAAAATATACGAAAAGAACGGGATGCTTTACATAAAGACTTAGAGAATAAGCAAGTCTTACTTCAAGATTTCGGCAAATTCAAATTGGACTTAGAAGTACCACAACCGATAAATGTGATAAGGAAAAGAAGTCTAGATTTATCACCTACGAGTAGCAAAAAACATAATTCTCAAGCTGAGGCCGAACGTTTGCGTCAAATCAATGCAACTCTGCAACAAGAATTGGAAGAACTTAAACACAAATCTTCCACTGAAATAATCACTTTACAGCAGGATATTGAAGATTTACAAACAACGAATAAACAAATGGCCGATCGTATCATGGATTTAGAACGTTTGAAAGCCGGTTTACAGGCTCAAAAATTATTCGGAATAGACAATAAATCGGCTATGGAAGAGGTTCAAATGAACGATGATAATTATTTATCAATAACTGAGAAAGAGGCTTTAGAAGCCAAGCTTAAAAATATAATGGCCGAAGTACAAGACGTCTCCAATCGTAATTTGTTTCTAGAGAACAAATGTGAAAACTATTTAATACTGGAACAATCTAACGAACGATTAAAATTGCAAAATGCAAAACTTTCAAGGCAATTAGATGAAACATTGGTAAGCTTGTGGAAAAATTATTCATGAAAAGAAATAATTTTTCAAGTAATCTTTTAACTCGTTTAGGTATCATTACAACATAGCGATGGCATTACCGCCAATACCGAATTTGAGTACTTACGTAATATTATGTTTCAGGTATGTGTGCAAAGTAAATTCTTTCTTTTTTATGGAAAAGTAGTGATTTTCCATTTGCCAAATGCGGAAAGAATTCGGATGTAGGAATAATCATTTAAAAAGAAGAAATTTATATATAAAAAATATATTTTCACAAAAAAAACCGGAATGATATTAATTTGAAAGGAAAGATAAAGTGAAAATGAATTTTTAGAAGGCAAGGTCTTTATTTTCTTCTTTTATAAGTCAGGCAAGCAACGAAGAAGTTCTGGGGTTGAATTTTAATAAAGCTGACGATTGGCTTGATTGCAAATATATTTATCTATATATATATATACACAACTTCTTCTTTACACGGTAGGTACTTTCTGCAGAAAATATTGTGTAAAAAAGATACTTGCGTTCTATGATAGATATGGGGTATGTTCCACGACTTTAAAAAGTCGTGTACGATGAAAAAACTCTAAAAATTTCCCCCAAAAAAAAAAAAAAAATCGCGCAAAAAAGTCATAATTAAATTGATATTACATATATATAAAAAAAAATTCATTTTTACTACGCAAAAAAAATAAAATTAGTGTATAGTGAAAATTCAATCTATACGTATAACATATTAAAATTTTAATTGAAATTGGGATTAAAAATTAGTTTCGCAATCAATCAGTTTTCATCAATGCAAACCGTACGGGAAATTTCACAATTGAATTAAAAAAGTAATTTATTCAAATTATTTACTGCATTCTAAGAGCTGAGGCACTCTCGACACAATGTAATGCCTGTGTTCGAGTTGAAATGGTTACAACGAGATAAAATGAAAGGTGATCTTAAAAATCGAGTATTCGTCGCTGTAGACCAAGTCATTACTACGTATGTAAGCGTAAACTGACCGAATTCTGTTCGCGATATTCCGCCAATTGCATTTTGTTGCTATACATGTGTCGGTAGGACTCTACCAAAATTAGAATTAAAAAAATTATTTTGCGCACCACCTAACTATCATCATTTTGCTAGAAGTGATCCTTTCCATGTTCGCCAATTAGTTTCTTATTTCATTTTACTTTGTTTTGTTTTCACAATGCAAATCGAAAAGTTAATCAAAGGAAAGTGATTTAAAAACCAAACAGCATTTTTTAATTATGTTTTTTTTTTTTTTGTTTAGAACTATATACCCTTGATCAAACTAAAATTCGGAGTTAATGTTGCCATGTTCGATTACCTGGCTTTAGAGAATTCGAAAATAAATTTCGAACGATTTATTTATTTCGTTAAAGATGACCCACCCCCTTCGAACTTGCTCTATCGGAACCGTTTTTGCCTTCTTCATTCGTTGGCATGAAATTAAATGTTTGAAATTTGACTTAAGGCTTTTTTCATTTTGTTCTTTTTTACTATTATTCTTTTTCAGTATTTAACGGGTTCAGCAAATGGAAATAATGCGACATTGGTTAAAGTTATATCGGCTGTTTTGAAGTTTTCACCTCAACAAACCCAAGTAGCTTTAGAAAAAGAACATCAAAGGCGGTCTTTGGTAAGTATAGCTTTAGAGAAAAAACCAAAAATGCTAATTACTTGATTACTTTACGTTAACTTAGATTTGAGAGAATGATTCCAAAAATTGTAGAAAATTTTAATTTTGTTATTGTTGTTTATGAAATACAAGTAAAACCATTGTAGCGGCACATCAGTAAATATCCTACACCAACCTATATTGATTGAAGGCATTGTATGAGAAGTGGTTCGATCCTGAACATTTTCAATAGCCTTCGTCTTAGGGCCAAAATCCGCCAGTATTCCAAATTCCATCAAAATTGTTCGAAAGTTGTGGTAGGTGCAGTTTGGATACATGAGAACATACGCATGGACAGACAGGCTAAGATCGATTTAGAAAAGGATTTTGAATTGATCGGCATAATAAAAGGTGGGTCTATCTCTATTTTGTGTAACGGCTATGTCTGAAAATCCTCACTGTCTGTATCGAACGACTCACTTTATTATTTTTAGGCCTAATCTTAAGTGCCGCTTGAAGAGGATCGGTGTTTGTGGTGACTGACGCACATGTCATGGGTGAACTATCTAGTTTGTGAGACTAGGGGCCTTTTAAAGTTCTGTCCCTTGCACATCCTTCAGGCGATTACATGTAGAAGAAATACACGTGTTTTACCTTTATAGGAACAAACGGAGGGACGAAAACTACCTACCTTATGAGCAGATCATAGGCCCCGGGCGTTGCTGTACCCTACCCTACCACCTATGGTCTCCTTCGATCCATGATTTGCGATGGGACGTTGCATACATCTGTACGATCTTAATGTATCCTTGTCCTCAAGTAGTGTGGGAAACGAAGTAATTATATCGTGGTCCTACAAGATTCGGAGCTAGAACAAGGGAAGATATAAGGTTTTTAGTATTAGAGCTTAGATCAGCCCTATTAACAGAGGCAATTGCTTCGATATTTGAAAATTTGAATTTAATGCGGTAAACATATTACGCCAACTTTAGTGTGATGGGCTAAATTGGGAATGCCCCTGGCTTATTATTACATAACCATTACGATGTGATTCAAGCTATTCAAAGAAAGATTTCAAAATTTTCGCTTGTCATACAACTTTATATTGTATATTTGTAAATAAATATTTCAAGGTCTAAACTATTACCAAAAACACTGCATTCTGCATGAAATTTCCTTAACTTTAAATCGTTTGTTTTGTGGCTTAATTAAGAAACAAAAAAACATATTTCACGGGCCGCCGAATACCCATCCTTTTAGTATGACTTGTTATTGAGTGACCGCACTCGCTCTTTTCGCATTCAGTTTGAAGCGGCTTTTGCTTTTTTTGACTTTATATGTAGATGCATGTTGAATGATCGAATGTGAAAAGATTTCAGCCTTATTTCATTTCTTGGTATTTCGCTACAAACCACTTGCGGTACGAGGGCATGTTAAATTTGTCCCGATGTATGCAACATCCAAAAATATTTTAGATAGACTCGCCCTTTTATAATACCGATTGGCTCACAACGTGATTTTAGGCTTACCTGACCATCTGATGTCTGTCTACGTATTTTCGTTTTCAATCTGAGATATTTTGATGAAATTTGGTACACTGGCCCAAGGAGGAATATTATTGCAAAATGATTCGGATCGGACCACTCTTCCGAATATCTCATTTTGAAAAATCGTTTTATAAATGACTGTATTAAGCGAAGTGGTGTAGTGTACATCTAATGGTGGAGCGTGTTCCACTATAATGTTTTTATTTGCTTCTTTGCTTATTTTCTTAACATTTCATATTCTCTTATTTTTGCAGCTAAGCAAAATCCTGTAGCAAGAAGACGAGAAAAGTTTTCTAATGTGGTAGTGCCACTGAAATTATTTTAGCAAAAAGTGTAATTAAAGTTTTTTGTAGTAATAAAAATTTTAACAACGTAAAACTTTATATAAAAACGGTATAGTGACACTCTCTTACATATTGTTTACAAGAAAAGAAAAAAAAAAAAATATTTTTTTAAAAAAAAAAAAAAAAAAAAAAAGTTTTAAATGCTTTTATTAGCATTAAAAGAAAACAAAAGTGCGAGAAACAGAAATTTACATTTTATACAAAAAAAAAAAAAAATAAAAAATAAAAAACAACAACATATAATTTACATAAATTTATAAAAAGTTATTATTAATTATATTTTGTATATAAATAATAAATTTTATAACAATTATTGCATTTTCATCAAGCTAACCCCTTCCCCCGTTTTCAGCATTATTTTCTATATAATAATTGTACTCCTAAAATATTACATATATCTATATAATCTTACGAAATAATGTAATGGTAACAATATTTAATTATTATGGTTTATGTATATTTGTATTCTCTATTTAAAAGTGAATTTTTGTGTGCAATAATTTCTTTTTAAAAAATTTGTTTTGTGTCCAAAATAACTAAATAAGTTTTCGGTTAAGTCACAAAAATTCCTTGTATTTTCTTTTCTTTTTTTTCTTCTTTTATTGTTATAAAATATTATACATAACTTGTATAACAGATTATAATTAATAAGTTTGTAATGAACTAAGTGTAAAGTAAATTTAACAATAACATACAATAATAATAATAATAATAATAATAATAAAAAAAGTGCTTAAATTAGTGAAATTGTTAATCTTATGATAATTTCATTTACAAAAACCGATTAAAAAAGCAGTATGTTCCCGAATAGACAATCGAGTTATCTAAAACATCGAAATTCAATACTTGTAGTTTAGGCGGATGTGTGCATAATTCCGAAAGACTTGAGATAGACCGAACCTTTTATTATACTGATCGAATCAGAAAGCGATTCTAAGCTTCTTTGTCCACCTATTTGTCCTTGATTCTGATCGAATCAGAAAGCGATTCTAAGCTTCTTTGTCCACCTATTTGTCCGGTTTCCTTGTGTTCAACCTACAGGCCAAAGTTGTTTGAGCCGAGCGATTTTCTCGGCCACTTTTCATACAACGCCTTATTTTGGAAAGTCGTTGCCTATTTAACTTGTAAGGAAGCATACTTTCTTACCCGCTCCGAACGTTAAAGGAGTTGTTGTTTAAATGTCACGAAATCAACGAATATAGCTTTCCGTAGGTTACTCTGTCAAGTAGACATTAGCATGTAAGTGGTAGAATAAGTAAACATACCTCGTGCTGAAAGCTCTAGATATCAGCGCATTGGTGTGGCAGCCAACAGCTATATAAACAGAGCACAAACAACGATCTTTCTTTTAGTTGTTCAGCAGCAGTTGAACGAACAGGTAAGTCAAGAACCTTAAGTAGTAGTAGTTTGTCGTTCTTTCCGTCCGAACGAAGTCCTTAAGATAACAGTGTGCTTTTGCATCATTATCTTACTGGCTCTCGGCCCGAAAGGAAGCCCTAGCTTTGTAGTTAACGGGTGATTGGCAGTAAGGTATTCTCCGCCCGGAACGGGGTCCTTAAAATGACGGCGTGCTCTTGCATCATTATTTTATAGACCCGCGGTCCGAAAGGATACCCCAGCCTTGAAGAACTTAGTAGTTCGTTACTTTCGGAACGGGGTCCTTACGACAACAGCGTGCTCTTGCATCCATTATCTTATAGACTACAGCCCCGAAAGTACACCTTAGGAACCTCACGCCTTTAGGGACCCAGTAGACTGCCTACTGAACCACTAAAAAAATTAACAGATAACACAGTCACACGCGGATCATATTTTCTCAGTAAAAGAAAACAAGGTTGCCCACTAAATACGTATTGGTGTTTTTTCTTTCACCACGAAGTAACTTCGCGAATAAGGATATTTTGTACTCTTTTTGAATTCCGCTAATACATATTTGATTTAATACAAAAATGCGAATGGTCTGTTAACTTAACGAATAAATTTCTTCGAACGGATCGCTGGACAGCTCTGAGCGAAACCCCAGCTATAAATTATCCCATTGCAAACTGTTTTAAGAGAAGTGATGCAGGGTATTACAAGGCGAACCACGCCCCTCTCGAGTGTTTGTGCTTGTTATACCCACTACGAGTGGTGTTGCGTTTGTGCGGACGTAAGTAACACCTAGCGAGGTTGTTGTACCGATCGATTCAGTATCATTTTCTCAATTATTTCATTTTCTGAATCGGTCTAAGCTATCTTTCTGTCTGTCCATGTATTTTTGTGTTCAACGTACAGATCACAATTTTTGAGATGTTTGAAATCACTGACGTGCTTTGATCCAAGGACGAACGTTATTAAAAGTCATTTAGATCGATTCACTTTTTCGGCCACTGCCCACACAACGCCCTATTTTGTAAATTCGTTACATGGGAAAAAATTCAATTTTTCAAGATTTCTTGCGAAAATTCGTGGAATAATGGAGTTTCGACGTTCTAAACGGGCATGTAAAATTTGGTTCGGCTGGGATAATTCTTTGAACCCCCTCCTATATAACCGTTCCTGCAAATGTGATCTTCTTGTGGTAAAAAGTACAATTTTCAATACTTCCACTTTGAAAATTGGTTCATAATAAAAAATTTACAAAGAAGTTAACCTTACCAAATTTTTTCACGACGTAGGACCACTTTTTAGCTACCAACGTATATAGGGATTTTTAGGAGATGTAAACCCTTCATAGTAATTTGTCATAAAAATGTAATAGACCAAATGTGAACCATATGTGTCCATGTGTTGGACCCCGCTTCATGTAAGATTTCCTACGAATAATAAGCCTTTCGGATAAAAGTTTAATTTTTGATTTGTTACACTGATAATTGATCCAGTGATTGAGTGATTTAGCAAAACAGTTAACGGTAAAGAATTTGGATCGCAAAGGTCTATTTTTTGGTCACCCCGACAAATGTCATGAAAAGCAAGTTCTTATAAGGAGTGAATTTCCCGTTTTTTATGATGGAAAGAACATTTTTATAAAATAAATTAACTTTGCATTAAATTAAAATTAAATTTGGATCGCGTCAAGTGTTGTTTTGGGTATTCTCCAACACGCGGTCTTTCCTGAAAAGTACGCCTTTGCAAGAAAATAATGTGTAATTTTCCATGTGTTATTACCAAAACGAGTGAATAATCAATAGTATTAGGCGAAGAGATTCTTGATTGTTTTTAATTCAAATATATATTTTTGAATAAATTTATATTAAATGTAAAAAGAGTGTTTGATTATTGTGGAAAACCGTCACGTCCATCTAGTTTTTAAAATAAAAAAAAATAAAATATATATATATATATATATATATAAAACATATAATTGTTTGTATTTAAAAACTTTCATTTATTTTAAATAGATTAAAAGCAAAAAAAATATATTTTAATGACGTATTAAATAAAGAAAGAACGAAAACAAAAACGTACAATTTAATGAACATTATAGCATACAATTTAGATTAGAAGGTAACTAATGCAAACGCTACGTTTTACTTTGAAAACGTACCGTTTTCCAAAATTTTAAAGGTTTACGATATATAAATGTTTTCAACATAGCTGCTGTAGAAGGATTTAACTCATGCATGGGACGGTAATGTCTTATCAGTTGATAGCAATTGACGTAACCGAATCGTTGTAAACGCAAAATCGCGCACAACGCTGCCTCCTGTATCGCAGGGCGATCGATTAAATTCAAAAAGATTGAGAAGAGATTTAAATAGCTTTCAATATCTCGGCGAAGAGGAAAAGGTTTTACTATCTTCGATATGACATCGAGTAAAATTATAACAAGAGAGTCGCAATCTTTCGTCTCGGAAACGGAATTATAAAACTTATTAGCCATCGGTAAGAGATGAGAATTTAAAATACGTTTTTCAGTATCATCGGGTGACATACGTTTGGCTAGCAAACTAAAGGCTACATCTATATTATCCGTTTTATTCGCTTTTAGATGTTCTACTAAATTATTGATGACGTCATCACGTTTCGGTTCAAATGGAGTAAAGTGATATTCAAAGCGTAGTTTCGATATTAACTTTTTGCCGCGTAATTCCTTATTATTCATATCATATTTCGTGTTCATTAATATGTGTTTTATAACCGTAATTAAAGGATCAGAATGATCGTAGGTGCGATCTTCGCGGGGCGGCAAAACGGTAGGATACCACATCAGAACTTCAAGAATCATAGGAATCGCCTTAAGAGTATGATAGTAAATACAGTTGGCAATGAAAAGACGCGCTGGATGTTTATCCAATTGATTCTCCTGCAACGAGACAGCCAAAAAATACAGTTGAGTAAGATTAAGAGCACCGTGCAAAGATATCCGTTGATTTTGCAAGCAATTGAAAAGTATTTCATCGATTTCGGCAATTAAATGGTTGCAGAATTCCGTTTCTTCATTAAGAAAATGTTTTAAAACTGCGAAAAAACCTTGTAAAGGATGACTTAGGTGCGATGGTGGCATATCTTGTATAACAGATGGTAAATCCTTTTCTTCTACATTCGAAGCCGGCAACTCTTTTGCCACATGAATCAGAGAACTGCAAATCTCTTTATAATCCGAGGTAACGTTTTTCAGACGCTTAACTAATTCACATGCATTACTATCCGTGAATGCATTGCTAAGGCAGTACTCGTTTAGATGAGAAATAACACGTTTGTCTGGAGTTTTTTCCAATTTCCTACTCGACTTGAAATTGATGTGAATGAAATGTTTTTGATCGTAACAATCTATAAGGCGATCAATTAACGATTTATTTTTTGAGATTTGTGAACGTAAATTGGCATTTAATTCCAAAGGTATTAAAATGGTAGAGGGACATGCTACAGATGAATCTAAAGGTGGTGGTGATTGCGGACTTTCATAGAAAGTAGTATCTATCGCGGATGTCGATGATATATTTGTAGAATCTTTTGCTGTATAAAAAGAGGTAGTTTTGGCATATTGCACTTCTTCTGTTTTCTTGAAGTCGTCGGGTTCCATTGGAGCTTCATCTGATACATCAGTGGAATCGCTTACATTTTTGGCTAAGAGCGTTGAACTGCATGCTATTTCTTCTTCTCTCGTACCAACTTTTGTAGGCATTTCTTTTTCGCGGCCTTTTAAAAAACCAAATTTTAGAGGAATTTCCTCCTCTCTCTTATTATCTTTTGCATTTATTTCTCCTTTACTGTCTTTAGTGAAACCAGATATTAGTGTAAGTTCTTTTTCATGTCTCTTATTGTGTTTTGTAAGCATTACCTCTTCTCGTTCTTTAAAGAAACCAAATTGTAGGGGAATTATTTCTTCTCTTGTACAATCTTTTGTAATCGTTTCTTCTTCTTCGCGTTCTTTAAAAAAACCAAATTTTGGAAAAATTTCCTTCTCGCTCTTATTATTTTTCGTAATTATTTCTTTTCCTTGTTCCTTAAAGAAACCAACTTGTACATGAATTTCTTCTTTTTTACATAAATCTTCTGCTTCATCTTTCATACTTCTTTTCGCTGTTGGTTTACGGAAATTATTTGATTGTTTCAAGGGTGTAGTATATTTACCAAGTTCGACTGGGATTGACTTTAAATTCAGAGTATTTTCTAACAATAAACGTTTAGCTTGTAGGCGGGCTGAACACTTGCGAGGTACTATGGTTTCCAGTTCCAATTCATTTTTACGTTTGCGGCCTTTTTTCTTTGATTTTGCTGGAGCGGATACGTCGTCTGCTTCTAAGCACCGCTCATTAAGTATATCGCTTACTATGTTACAAACGGAGTCTGTCAACATTTCTTGGCAGGTAGTGGCGTCTAAAATAGGTAGTATAGAAGCATCATTCAAGTCTTCTTCAATGGAAGAAGTACTACAACTACTATCATTTCGTTCTTTTGCTATTTCTATATAGTCTTCATCTATAATTAACTCATTTTCTGCGAATGTATTAAAATTAGGTGATTCTGGCGATTCTTTCAAACCATTGGCAACTTTGTTGCTGACTGACGAAGAGGTAACTATCGAAGCGTCAAACCCGGACATGCGTTTCCCATGTTCATTGACATTACAATTATTATCTATAGGAATCAAATCTGCATCTTGATTTTTGCCTTGTTTTTCTTCTTTCTTTTTAATATTTTCTTCATTCTTTCTTGAATTCTCATCGAGTATTGTGTTAACTAAATGTTTAGACCCTGATAGATTTGTTAAAATTTCATGTAATTCTTCTTCAATGATATCCGCTTTACAGTCTTCAACGGAGGAAGACATTTCAAAGCCTCTCTGCAACATTTTTAAACTTTCCTCTTTAGTTTTTCCAACAGTTTCTATTTCGGAATTGTCATCTAAGGTTGCTTGAAAATTTCTATAAATGATCTTATCGGTTATTGGTCGATATTGTTCTGACTTTTCATTAATTGTAAATATTTCGTTTTCATCTTCCGAAGACATTTCCAAGTCCTCTTCAAGAGTTCGATTTACATTTATGATTGGAAGATCTTGGCTATCTCTAAACGATGCATTATCTTTACTCTCGCAATTAGTGGAATCGATTGTCTTATCTGCATTAGTTAATAATTTCTGCGATTCTTCTACACCATCAGTTTGTTCACATCGGTCATTAAAAATTGGTTTTTCACTATTATCTAAGCTTTTACAAGGAAAACTTTTCATTTTTGTGCTTTCATTACAAAACCGTTCGAACAAATGGTTTTCTTGCAATTTTTTTGTACTAATTTCTTGTCTTAAAGGTTCGGCTAAAATATTGTGGTTACTATTTGTAGCACTAGTTTCTCGTCGCAGTTCTTCTGCTTCATTGCTCTCATCTTCATTCGCTTTACTGACACTTGTAGGCATATGCGGGGAGAGATTTTCACCATGTGACATACTTAGAGGTTGGCTCAAAAGTGTAGATTCAGCAGAGTTTACTGCGAAATTCAAACTATTCGTTCGGTTACATTTTGAAGCATCTACTGTTAATTCTCCATTACTTTCTTCCCTTTCCTTGTAATTTTTTCTGCAATTATTAGAGCTTTGCTTATTGCCATCAGCTTTGATAGGGGATTGTAACTTTCTTCCTATTTTATTAGAAACCAAAGTTGACGGAATTTCCTCACTATCTTGACGCCGCTGTAAGTGGTCTTCCTGGATATTGTTCTCGTTTTCACTACAAATTTTCGCCTCTTTACAACAAGTGTGTTTCAATTCTTTTTTATGCTGTTCGTTGCTTATTTCAACTTCTTCATCACTTTCGGTTTCTGTGTCGTCACCGAAAAGTTCCTTTATTTTATTGGATGCGTTTCGTCTGATCTTATTACTCGGTTTGATAAACACAAAATCATCTTGTATTGGCTTTGGCGAAAAATTAAAAACACCCTCGTACTCGTCATTACTCTTTTCATCTGAAGTAAGGGCAAAATTTGGCAGGTTTGTCAAAAAATCAACAGCATTTAGTTCATTAGCTAAGGCAGCATCTTTCAGTTTCCTCCTCGTTTCCTTTTTCTTCGGCTCTTGTGACTTTTTCAATAATTTCTTTAAGATTTTTTGTTCGGTTTTATTCAGCTTGGCTTTTGAAAAAAGTTCCATGATCTTTTTCTCAGTTAAGGAATCAAATTTGTTTTTAGACGAGGATGTTCTTATATCTGATGATATCGCAGCTTGCCCTTGCTCTACAGATAAGTTTAGGTGGCTTATTTCTTCATCAGTGGTTGAATTGGAATCATCTAACGATTTAAGATTCGAAGAAGAAAAGCATGAATCGTTCACGATTTCAATTTGTTGTCCGACATTCCGTGAACATGAAGCTGAAAAAATGAATTCAAATAAAATTATGTCGCATCAGTTACTACAACTTTTTTTATTACCTTTTTGGTAGTTACACCTGGGTAGGGGTTTTATTATTTGCTGGCCGTTGTGTTTGCCTGTTATAGAATTTCCAAATTTTAAGAGACCATAGTCCATTTTGTCGCATGATTGCACTACAATTAAAGTTAACCAAAAATTATAATAATAAATAATAATAAATGTATATATATAATAATAATAATAATAAATGTATACTCAACAAAATTTACCTTCCTCTTCGAATGTCTGCGAGCTACTTTCGGTTGTAATTGACCGAGATGTTTTTTTTAGTCCTAAGTTATTGGTTTCGTTACAATTCCGACGGGTGTTTTCATATAATTCCCTTAGCCAGTTATGAAACTCTTGTTGGTTGAATGACGGCACTTGCATAGAACTATTATTAATTAAGTTTAGATTGGTGTTGGAAAAAGTAGAAGGCATACTGACGTTTCGTGGTTGTATTAAACTAAATATCATTTTACCGAACACTTGCCACAGCTCATCAAAAGCTGTAGTATTCAAGTATTCTAAGGCCGACTTTTTAAAACTTTCTTCTTGCGTTGTTAAATTTGTTGAGTTTTGTTCTGCTTTGCTGGTAGATGGTAAATCGCTTTGCAATGTGTGTACGTTTCGTACATGTGTTGGTGTAGGTGAGCCCATTGGGGTACTGACTTCTTGTTTTATGGCCTCATCTAATTGGTGTGATAGGGGCCGGGTAGTAGCTCTTGTAGATAGATAGTCAATTTGTTTTCGTATATTGCAAAGCCATGTGCAGGTACCGATGGTATTATACGATTTGTTTTCTCCATCCATCTGAGAGTCAACGAATGGCGATATTGGTGTTACATCCCACTTCCCAAACTCGGAAAGTATTTCCTCTACAGAAGGTTGGAGTTTGGGATCTGGGAACGAAGTACCTACGTGGCGTTGTTTAATAAAACACGAAGTCGAAGTGCCTCGTGTGGTCATTGTGCTTATATGCTGTGTACCTTGAGTACGTAGCTCTACTTGGCATTGTGTTGCTTGATCTTTGCTTTCTATGAAATGGCTTTTGGATGGCTCTTGCTGCCATAAATCGCATTGCATTGATTTTTCTAGTTTTTTCATTTTCAACTTTACGCGTAACTTTTTGGGACTGCAGAATGCGGGAATTTTGAGGTTCTTATTACTACAGTAACGTTTCAAGTCATCACTTGTACGATTGTCTTGCCATTTGAGACTGCCTTGCGATTCCTCAAGTCTTTGTATAATTTTTAAATACTTTATGACCAGCTCATCATAGTCCAAAGGCCGGCTTTTTTCTTTTTCCTGCAAATCCAGTAGCTGATCGTAACCCAATTTTTGATCTATCATTTCATTATGTAGAGTCTTATAGTTCTCTTCTAACTCTTCTAAATTTCTTCTTGTAGTGTTAAGATTTTCATTTGCCTCTGTATATAGTTCTTGTACATTATTAGCACTCTTCTGAAAATTACCAAAATCTTCTTCTAATTTCTGTTTATCCTTTTTGAGCTGTTTTATTTGTGTAATTAAAGTATCCGTATCGTGGATTCTTTTAGCTAGTTCTGCACGCTTTTTACCGGCTTTGGTTTTATTGCATTTTTTTGGAGGAGATCCACTTTCCACTAATAAACTTTCAGATTTTTTCGGTGATAAGACTTTTGGAACTTTTTCATCTTGCATCCAATCCAAATTAATATCGTTGTAATTGAAATTTTCGTCTACAGGCATTTTTTTTTTTGCTAAACTTATGCCGCTGGAAATTCACGTGTAACTTTAAGCCGCTTGCTTTTTATATATATATAATCAATATAAAATATGCGATGTTACAACAAATAGCACTATTTCTAAAATTATATAAAAGTCATTACCACTCTAAAAAGCACATCATTCCTCTTGTGTTCTTGCACAAAATTTCATGAATTAAATAATCGAATAAATAAAAAATTAGCGAAAAACGTTTGAACTCCGCACATTGCCTTAAAAAAAAAAAAAAAATAGAAGAAGATGCCATATATTTATGAAAATATATAAACAAAAAACAATAATGAAAAACTTGAAAAAAGCCCTCAAAGCTATCAAAATAACAGCTGGTAGCTTTGCTATATGTCAAAAGTGTAAATAAAAATTATTGGCATCACTGTTTGGTCGACTAATATCAAAAAGAAAAATTTTTTCATTTTATTAATTTATTTAACACACAGAACACGCACATTTATTATACGACTGCAGTGAAATGCAAAATATTATTTTTAGTTCATTTTCTAACAATCTTTGAAAAATATCGTAAAAAATTTAAAGTTATTTTTTCTTTTCACAAAGAAAGCGGTAATATAAATTTTTTAGACAATCGCCGTAACAATAAAAAGAATCGAAAAGCGTAAAACTCCTTAAATGCAAAAATAATAAAAGGAGTAAAAAAAAAAAGAAACGATTACATATACATTAGCCTTAAAATAATAGCAGTGACAAAGAATTTATTTTTATAAGAAAAATTTCAACAGTGTCAACGAAATAAATAACAACAGCGGAAAATTTTTGAATTGCCTAATAAATCATTTTTACTTACTAAACAAAATAAACGTAGAGAGAGAAATATTGCTTGTGGTTCTCAAGGACTTGTATACTCCACAGCAGTTTGCTTTAATATACAATTTGTCAGAAAATGACTGCAAATCTTCGTCAAATTCCATTGACCTGCAGTGGCCACACTCGGCCAGTAGTGCATTTGGATTTTAGTGATATCTGCGAAAGTGGTTACTTCCTAATATCGGCATGTAAAGGTAAGAAGATTAAAGGTTGTACCATAAATATTACATTTTTCATTGTTTTTGAAGCAACGGTGGTATAACCAGAAATACAGACGCATAAGAAAAACTTCCAACCGGCCAAGTCATGGTCACAGAATTAAGTTTAATATGAATTATGAAACCGAGCAATAAGATTAAAGCATCGAAGTAGCAACGAATTAGACTAAGTTTAATTGCTTTTTGGCAATCGGAAAATCTATTCCAGGTTACATCGTATATATGAAAGCGTCTTAGAGCTTCTTCGTACTTTCATTTAATTAATTTTAGTAAATAAAGCCATATGGTTATGGCTACGTATATAACTAGGTAATGATAAATATATAACATAAGTGATCACACAAGCCAGCTAGGTGACTGTTAATGTAATCGTCTTGTCTCACAAAAATATTCTCCTCTGATTTTCGGGCGTAGAAAGGAGTTTCCTACGAATTCTTTGCCACGTAATAAATTCAGATTGTTGTGTTTCACGTGAAATCTTCACATCAAATGTTCCTATTGCTCTCAAAGATGGCTACAGTTGTTTGATATTAAGTAAATAAATAATTATACTTTTGTGTTGGATAGAAAGAACTGCCACCTTTGACGCCGAAATCAAAAATTTAAAAAGATTATTAAGAAATTACAGCTAATTGCATTTTGTCGACGTGATCTATTAACGGAGAAACAAATTACTTTTTAAGTTTCAGAATTTTCTGAACATGTCGATCACAAATTATAGACACATTTTCAAAGATTTAGCACGATCCATCTCGGTGTCATTTTTAGATTATAATGTTTTGAGGTCTTCGCCTCAACTTTTCATAATCACTTTTTCGATTAATCAAGAGTTTCGATTTGTCTTTGCACCTGGCGTATGCTATAAGACTGGGTCGCGCCTGGCAGTGAAAACAGTATTGTGGATGCCTTACTTCGATTACCGCGATTATGTGCTCTTTCCGTGGATGTATTTATTGCAATGGAAAGTATAAACCACAAAGTTGAGAATGGAGAAGTCTGAAAAAGCTCACCACCATATATTTTTCTAAGAAAGTGAAAACGCGATAATGTGAACAGTTGAATAGCAATAAAGAATATTTGAACCGTGTCAGGCAAATTCCTTTCAGGGGGTGAAAATCAACTATCTGCTTAAGGTGTACGACAAGAATAACTCTCAAGAACAAAAAAATATTTTGCTAATAATTTTGGAATCTCGGACATCTAAAATTATATCTAGAAAAACCTCGTCAAGCTGAAGTATTAAAAATGGTGTTTGGATTTAGATTAATTTAACTATCGTAATAATGACTTTAAAGCATTCGTCATCAAGACATTTTAAAGGTTCTTTCTGTCATTCCCATAAAGGCGGGCTTATGACATTATATCCGCATATTACTTTTTAAAAATGATCATCTAATTGATTCCTTGATTCCTTTAACAAACCCGGTATTGTAATTTTGACTATAAATTTAGGCTGATAACTCTAACATGCTAAAGGAAAAGTAAAGACCAATATTCCGCTTGGGCAATAAATACTTTCCATGTCGGGTGGAGATAATCTAAATTATAATTAAACAATTTCTTTAGGGCAAATTTAAAAATGTCTTGATTTATATAAATATGTATTCATCTTCGCCGTTATATCCGAGCGAACTAAATTCTCATGGTTTCTACATCTGGATTTTCGGTTAATAAATGAGTATTTTTGCCTTCCTTTAGCTGGCGTATTATAAACGGAGTAAAGACATTACGGTGGGCCATGGTCCACTTCCCTCAATACGTTTATTCATATATGTTTTATGCATACATTGAAAAAATGGTCCGATCCGAAATATCTTCAGTAGAGTCCGTCCTTCGCGATTTGTAGATTGAACATTAGAAAGGACACACAGATGGACAAGCTTAGATCGATTCAGAAAGTTATTCAGAACTGAATTGCAAAACCTTTTGGGTGTTACATATATTCGTACAAATTCAATATATTCTCATACCACAAATAGTGTAGAGTATAAAAGCTATCTTATTGTTCTATTTTGAGGACGAATTTCTACCTGCTTGCCATAATATAAAATTCCGAACTAATTCTTAATTGCAGGCCATAAAAACCAGACCAGACGCACCATTGCAGACGGCAAAGAACTGTGTATAGCCTGTACTAATTATTGATTGTATTAACCTTTATCTCTACCTTAAAGCATTACGATAATTAAATGATAAATACTATATATGTATATCATAAAGTTAACATAAGTAACAAATTTATGAAATATTTGAATGAAAGGCATAAATGAAACAAACAATTGCAATAATAGTGACCGGTAATCCTTTGCTTTCTCGTTCCAGGTACTAAATGTTGTTTTAAAACTATTTAACAATTATTTTCATTGTTTTTTTTTTTTTTTTTGCATAATAAGATACATTTAGATAAATGCATTCAACGCATTTTGCTACGTATACAAGTGATATTATGTATTACATGCACATATGTAAGTACGTACGTACGTACGTACGTATAGCTTTTGTGCGATCAAGGTGAACGAGAAATGAAAACATTTCTCACATGAAACTTTTCTGAAAAAAAGAAGAAAAAACATATAAACAAAAAAAAAAAAGATCTAAACAAAGACATGAAATAAATTGTTTAACATTTGTTTTAAGAATATTTTGAAACAAAGAAAGTTTAAATGTGAATTTCTGTAAAACAATTTTTGTAATGAACAGATTTAAGTTGTTCTACTGAAAAGAAAGCAATCTATTAAAGAAAGGCATAAAATCAAAGAAAGGGGAGGAGTAGGAAGGAGAAAGTGAGGGACGGAAAGGAAAAATTCTTCGCAAGGATTCAATCGAAATAATTAACGCATTTACTTGGTGAATTTGCATGGCGTCTACACGCGCCCTCATTCCTTCAGATATCATCTGAAAAACATAGGTATCTTCTATATCGATTCAAAGAGATTGTCCCAAGGGAGGAAAGAGACTCTCTGTCATATCCTATATGAGCGCGAGTCCATCTGCGAGGTCAGACACCAAGTGCTTAGAAAATATTTCATAACACTAGACATAGTATGGTGCTCCGCAACGCAGAAGATGGTATGGTTCGTAAGCATCCTGCCAGATAACAATAGATCTTGTATGTATACAGTACAGATTGTCCACACAATAGTAATTATAGGTGCTTGCATATATTTTGATCAGCAACATTATTGGTGAAAATGATAAAGTAACGCGAACTATCAATGTACACAACGCTTAAATTCAATGATTTTGAACTCTGCCCACATAATATAATATCCATCCATTTAGTGTTGTCGTGTTAGTCGTTGTATACAGACGCCAATCATTGAAAACTCAAAGTTGCGTTTTCGACATTCTTTACTTCTATTTGAAGAAATCTGCTGCCAAAGTCCATCAAACAATTTACGAAGCTTATGGTGATGCTGCTGCATTGTCGGATGTGGTTTGAGCGATTTAAAAGCGGAGATTTTTTTTGACAGTGACAAAGAACGGCCTGAAGGACCAAAAGAGTTCGAAGACGGTGAATTCATTGTAAGACTTATTGGACGAGAAGTTATCTGAAGATCCATATTGCCAGAAAGATGGGAACAAGTTTTGGAAAACGGTGGATTATATATTGTAGCAATGTTTCTCAATAAATGTATTGAAAAAATGATCAAAATACATGCAAGTACCTTATAATAATAATACTAATTTTGCGCGGAGTAATTGCAGCGCGTACCACACCAGGAAGTGGACAATGGAAGGTCAATCAGTTGGCTTACTTAAAAGTCAAAATATCAGGCAGATCAAGCACGCATGCGCTTTTGGAGTATAAATCCAAGTACTATGGAATAAGAATTTTGGTATACATTCAATAGTGGGTATAGAAAAAAAGATATTTTATCCATCTTTTGCAAATGTGGAGATGTAACGGTATGCTCGACTGACTTGCTTAACTCTCAAAGCTAAGAAATATATAAGAAATATATTAAAATTTGGACATTCTAGATCGCTGTAGGATTCGGAGTCGATTTAATCGTGCTCTCTTGTGGCAGAAAAGTTCAGCTGAAATTTTAACTTTGACACATGCATTCTTAATTTATGTTTACCGGTCGACTTGAAAAGTATTTAGGTCCACCTGTAAATTACAATCGATTCACCGCACGCATCAGTTTGATACAAAATTGCATGATGCTTAAATGTACTAAGACTAAAATTAATAAATAATGAGTGTAGCTCATCGGCACAGGGGTCGATGGGATATGTAGAAGATTTTGGTCGATAGTCCTTATTTGTGGCTGATCAATAGATCAGTAGAAAAATCAAGTTATGATGACAAATACGAATTTAACTAGCAAAGTAGGCTTATCATCGTCCTTAGCAGAGTTCTCTCTCTAAGCGCCCTAGCAGGGCTCTATTAATTAGTTAGAATTAATTGGAAGCTTGCTCCGTTCAAATTAACAAACGCTAAATATATTACTGTTGACTAGAAAGCAGTTCAAGTAATTTTTGTAGCTAAAAAACTCTTTCTTTTATTTATTACTAACTACTCCTTAATTCATAATTTCAAATAATATAATGTCGATCGAAGGTCGCTGTCGCAGATGGTATAAGAAATAAAATGTCGACACATACTCGATATAGATTTAAAATACAAACGCCGACAGATATGAGTATTTCTTGGCGTTATAAACTTTGAATAAATAAATGCTCGCTACATAAAGTTTTGCGTAAATGTTTTCCAAGTAATGTTGGGAATAAGTTTAAACAATAGTCGTGATATGATGTCATGAGTTCATCGCATCAAAGGGCAACTTTCTTCATCGACAGACCAACTTTAAGTTTCATATCACAACAGATTTGTGATTTTTATTATTATTGTGTAACGAAATGAATACAATAAACTTATTATCCAGATTTCTACGTGGTTGATCAAATTTTGGTAAAGTTCATGATTTATTATTAAATCAAGAACTCTTTCTACATTTTCATGTGCAGCTGCGTTATAAAGCTTTACCTCGCGTATTTGTAAATAACTTCTTCAAGGTCGAATTATCACTCAAAATGCTGCTTTCTATATAAATTTTTTTTTTTTTTTTGTAAAGTGTCCGTTTTGTGGACGAAAGGAAAAAAAAAAGAAAACCCGTAAACACATTCAACATTTGAGAACTACATAGCTGAGCCGGAAGTGAAGGTAAATGCAATTCATTTCCAGCATTGCCATATGTGAGCAAGTTGAATTATTTGAAATTTTAAAGCGAGCGGGCCCGACTTGACAGTACCGCATTCGGCATCGCGAACCGCGGGGCGGCGTTCGCTCATGCGTGTTACGGATCTAAAATGGAAAATCCTTTGCATTAAAGCTATTTGCAAATTTGATCTTACGACATTAAACTGAAATTATATGCTTTCTGTTTCTGTTTTCTATGGCAACATCTGAGTAACGTCAGAAGCTGACAGATAAGGGATAAATAAAACTTTATATTAGCTCATAATATGTACATACATATGGGGTTATGTCAGTTTTTATTAACACTCTTGCCTAGCGGTATTACAATTCGATTAGCAAAAGCTGTATGACTGCATCATCCAGTGATGGATACAAAAATCACGTACTTTCTCATTTTAAAAACGAATATCAAAAACTGAATAAAAATAAAGCAAGCACGAGAGCAACATACTCACCTTTATCCAAATAATGAATGTCCATATATATGTATATACATATATATATACATATCAACATCAGATTCGATTTTTCATTCGCTTTACGTAAAATATTGTATAAGTTCCACTAAATTTCCTTCATCAGCGCAAAATTTTAAATCTATTCGTCCCGATCTCTTGCACATAGTTGGAATATTCATGGTCGCCAAATTACCACATATAGCTACATTTCCTTTACGCATTTTTAGTTGGTCTTCGCAGACAGAAGTTTAAAAGTAATTTGCTTCCCTTTTTGATAAAACTCGACTTTATTTAAAATACACTTCTTACAAAGCTTAACAATGAAATACGCACCGTCATTATCTACGGTCTTTTCCCGTTCGTCGAGTAATATTATGAATGACGTTGCCTTAGAAACTGACCGAATAGGAGGCGAAGAAGCTATCGACTCTTTTTTTCCACATCCTCCCCTTCTGTGAGCCGCTGACGTGGTAAATATAAATGTAACTGCATTGATCTGAATAAGTGGTAATAGTTGGAAGGGCCAGATCTAGAAAATCTAATTGCTTTATAGTTCTAAGGCAATTCAATATATGCAACAGTCAGAACGACTTGAGGCTAACCCACCTTTTACTGTACAGATCAGTTCAGAATTATTTTTTAAGTCAAACTAAATTTGTCCCTGCGTCTCTCTGTCTTGTTTTCTTTCTACCGCCGCAATTTTTGATATATTTATTTTAATCATTCTCCAGATATTTTGTAAAAATAAATTTACAAAGTATGGAGTTAAGGGTTGCCGGATAACCTAGAGCATACGCTGTATTGAAAACTCTGCTCAACTTGGTATTTTTCAGAGATTTTTTGATGATATTTGCTATACTGACGTCTCTTGGCCAAGGACTCTATTACAAATTACAAATCGGATCCGATCCCCTATAAATTTTACTCTTATTTTGAATAGTCGATATATGAATAGTTGTAGGGTATTTAATAGACTGCTATTGTGCTTCTACTTGATTTTTTTTTTGATCCTTTTCTTCATCGTTAGTACCTGCGGTTCGTTGGAAGGCCTTTTTCATACTAGTTCTTTAGTTATTTTGTCTTTCAATTTGATTTGTAATCCACTGAGTTAATGCGTATTTTATTTATTTTTGGGAAAAAATTATTATAAACAAGCCAATACAGAATTAAAGAATGTAAGCGCCCAGATGCATCGCATCGGTTACAAATATATTAACAAACTTATAATATTCTGAACATTTGATGATGGTTGGTGGGTATATTAGTAATAATAAACATTAATAAAATCACATCTTATATGCACCACAACTACTGTGAACGATTATAAAATGACGGCAGCGCACACCAGACACTGTGTGCATGATTTTTTTCTTCATTTTCAAGGTGCTTCCCGTTTTTTTAAGTATATCGCGTGTATGTATATATGTATATAAATAAATATATTACAAATACATGTATATATATGGATTGCATGTACGTGTGTGTATGGTAATGTACATAAAAACCAATAATAAGTCATCATCGATAACTAAAAACAACGAAAGTAACAAAAAGTATTTTTTCAACCTAAAGGAAATTAATTAGATACACACTTATGCATGTACATAATTTTTTATCATTATGTACTAAATAAAACTGCAAAGTGTTGAACATAAAACTGGTATATTATATTCGCGCGTAAATAGGGGGAAGACAAGTTCACGCTTCTGCTTTGAATAAATATTTACAGACTTATCAGCAATATTTTATAAACATGAGAGGAATACCTTTAGCCAAAGTTACGACAAAATGAGTAGTATATTAAACTTATTACTAAGGTTTGCCAGTATCTTGAAAAATATTTGAACACTGCCGCTGCTCTCCTTAACAAAACGCCGTCTTTGGTTTGCTATATATTTCGAAATTTTTTCGATGGCGCTATCAAATCTTGAATCGTGTATATAAAAATCTTAGGAGAGGAACGTCCCACTTTTTCAATTTCGGTTCAAAATACCTTGCGCGGAGCGTACTTTTCAACTCTATGCCACAGCAAGTATAAAAGATAGCTTCCACTGAGCCTTCAAAACAGATTTACATGTGGCAACATTGTTACCAATTGTCTCACACCTCATTGTCATCAATCGTCCTGCATTCTGGCTTACATTAATTCTTCCACTTCTGCGTTGAAACGGTATACACAAGACTAGAATTACTACATAAAACCTTTAATTATTTGTTCAAAAATGCGACTACAATAAAAGAACAACAGTGCGAGGTCAGTGAAACATAGAAACCGTGCTCTTTATCGGCTTGAAGTATCAAAACCTGCAAGAACTGAGATAAAAGGCTTATATTTGATATATAAAGTTTCCTACACGAATTGTTATATATCAAGACTGCATGGCACATCTTTATATTGGCCGATGCAATTATTATATTGTTTCCCTAAAAATAGAAAATACGCTTCTTATGTGTAATGAAATTTGGTAAACATTGCATGCGGTAGGGTGCCTAATAGTTATTTTTCTCAGTCGTTTTAACGTTGAAAATTTATTGATGCATTTTAGTCAACGAACTCTGAATACGTGTAGAGCTTTCCGGTTTTACTGGTGTTATCTGCTTTAAAATTCTTAACAGTAGAGTATAAGTGTTCGGGGGGGCTATCAAGAGAAGTAGTAAGCGGTTACGTGATTGATGTTTATTACAATCGAAGGCAATAAGAATATACAATTATTTTGTTGTATATGTAGGGCTACTCAAGAAGTAGACCAAGGTTTCGTAGGGTTAATTAATTATATACACGCCTGTGCGTGGCATATATAACTAGGAAGGCACCAATAGTAAGCTGTAGTCGCACTTTAAATACTTTAAGATAGCACTTAGTTTACATTAAAAATCCGATCATTTACAAACGAATCGGAATTTTATACTATTATATAGTTCATGCCACGGATTTTTTTTAAAGCTTCATTGTATTTACCACCTATATGGCAGTACAGGCTCACTTGCAACTTTAAAGTGGCTGACACAATGAAGAATTTACGTTTTCACGTTAAAAGCTCCCAACACAATGAGTAGCCGCGCTACCATACTGCTTCGCAGCAAAATGTAAACGAAAACATGGTTTTAGAACCAATATAAATAAAGAAAAACAACAAACTAACAAGCTTTCTTATTGGTCAGGTATTTGTAGATATATATATTAGATATATTTTTGTGTATTAATTTGGAAACTATCGCTTTCTAAAAATCGCGTATTGAAGAATATATTTCAAGTTTAAAATAGTTGGTCTTTATTGCTTATTTCTTAGGAAACAACGCATGGAATAAAGTCAGATTGCAAATCACATAATATAAAAAAGAATGTAACATTTGTGTAAAATAAATAAAAATTAGCTAAATAATTTCTAAATTTAAAATAAATTGTCTTTATATTTTCTTGTGCGTTGTTTTCTTTTTGATTTATTTTCATGTACACATGCAAAATCACTTGATTTGTCAATTCCCGTAAAGTTTTGTAAAAAGTCGGCAAAGTTGAAGTCCCAATCTGGAAATAGAAATACCGCCTGATTATGCAAACCTCCTAAATACTTTTGTTCTTGATATCCGATTTTTGAGAGACGATTTTTCATTTTTTTGTTCGAAGTCTCTAAGAAGTGAAGAATATATCCGTTAAACGTTTTTTTTTGTGCCTTCCTTTCCATCGAAATTTGATTTTCCTTCATTCAAATATATCTCTATTTGTATAAAATCATATGGCACTCTGTAGATATCGGGAAACATAAAAATGGATTTATTTTTTTAATTTAATTTGCGTAACGCAGAGCACCCGCAGCTGAAGATATCTCCAGAGAATGGCTGCGGTGTTGCCATTGTTTGAATATTTTTTTCAAAATTTGTTTTGTTTAATACTTTCTCGCCACATGCAATAGCAGTAGCAAAACGCGTGTGGTTAAATCGATTCAGAATTAGCTCATGACTTCTTGCAAAGTTATTTTTAAGGATATCTGTACGCAACACACCACCTATCGCCAAAATTGATGCGATGAATTTAATTGCGACCGTACACGTAGCCGCTACTTTCAAAAGCTTGAAAAGTGAAAAATAAATTTATCATTATATGAAAGCAGTTTTCTTCTGCTTAAACTTTTGCTACTTGTGGAGTAACAAAAGCAAAGATGAAGCTAGGGACAGAATTAATTCTACATCTTACGATTATAAAAAATTCATATACACTTTGCAGATTAAGCGACTTACAACAACTAAGGCAAACCTGCTTATAAAACAAAATTGCGTCCATTAGAGAGTAAGCGTAGAAAAATTGCGTCCATTTGAGAGTAAGCGTATATGTTTGTTTACACTTCTCAATAATTGAAAATGTGTTTATTAACAGCTGTCGCATGTAAAGCTTATTGTAACCGATTGGCACTTGCATTAACAACAATTAAGATTCTCTAAAATCGGAAAGAAAGCTAGAAACGTCTTGGAGCCAATCTGACGCACTTACTTTCTAGATGATAATATTGGAGCTAAATATCAAATGTTATTAGTGAAAGTGACAGTTTGGATTTTTGCCTAGAATTACCTTCCTTAGAGTTACTTCAACTTTCAGATACGTCCAGACCGGCCAACCATATTTGCCCTGGGAAATTAATTAAAGGCATCGAAAAACACTAAGTATTCTTCAAGTCGCGAAACGACGTGTATTCATCTTGAGATTCGTTTGAGGTAATTGCCGCACCAATCTTTTCTTACTTCTCCCGCCTATCAGCGGAACATTCGATATCGTTCTGAAGCAGCGCTTTTCGGTAAACAGTTTTAAAGTAAATATGAAAACCGTGTTTTTTAGAAATCGTAAAAAATATTATTGAAAGCAGCAGGTTCCTTCGAAATCGGCCCAAGCATATATACTATAGTGCAATTGCGAACATTTGCGTACCTTTATTTTATTTTTTATCTATTTCGTTTGCTGTTTGATTTTACTTTTATTTTCTAGCACAATTGATTAAAACTATTTGGATTATTGCCAATTGTTAAAAAAGTTACGCAAAGTTCCAATACAAATTTATTTTTATGTAACTGGCAACACTGCTTTACTGAGCAGTTGATCTGTTGTTATAAGCCGCAAAATATTTAGTTAAGTCGAATTTAAATTACTCCAAGGTTTTAAAGAAGGTTTTGTTCATTATAATTTTTATTATCATGGATATGATTAAAAAGCAATTGCTGCAAGCATGTATTAATCATGGCAGCATGAAACTTGAAATTTTCCAACGTATGTTAAGGGACCTCTGTAAAGCATATGAAATATCCGAAGAATCTTTCGTTACTGTTGAAGAATTGACAATATTAATTAACGAGATTAACGAAAATATTAATCAATATGATCAAATGTTAACCATTGTCAAACATCCGCTAAATAACGAAGAGTATGTAGTTTTTGCCATGTTAAAATCAAATTTAGCTTGTAAATTTCAACCCCAATACACTGATAACGAACGAAAATATTTTTACAAGTTACTTGAAACATTGGCAAACAGTGAAGATTTCGGTATCGAATGGAATGACATCTACAGCGTGGCCAATACACTACCGACGAATGCACAACATCCCATTTCCAAACAACGCATACAAGATTTAGAAGATCAGTGGACTTCTCAAGGTTACTTTATTGCTAAAGATCATAAAATATTCTTCGGGCCTCGCACCATTGTGGAGTACGGCAATTATCTGAAAAATCACTTTCCTGAGTTTATTAAAGATTGCGTGTTATGCAGTAAAATTGTATTTTGGGATATAAAATGCAACGAATGTGAAGTAAAATTGCACCGGGAATGCATACGTAAATATTTGTCAAAAAAAACCAACTGCCCTAATTGTAAAAAAAAGTGGAATACGCATTTGTAAGCATTTTTTCTTGCTTATCTTCTGAGTAAAATAAAGGAGTTTATTGTTCTTAATACAATTTAAATAAATAATAAAAGGGTATGAGTAAAATCAGAGCCATTTCTACTTCTAGCTCACAGTACTAGTATTTGTTCATTTTGGGTTCATTAAAGGTGATGATAACAAATTTTTATTTTAAATATTTTCTCAAATCTTTTGTTCATTCGTTTGTTGTTTCTCATTTTATTGATTTGTTTGGACTTAACTCACTCTAACTTAAAAAATAACCAAATGACAATGGATTATACCAACTCATGCTTTTTTTTTGGGTTGTTTGTCTGGAAAATATACAAGTAGATCTCGTACATTTGGGAGTAGAGAATAGTATTGGCGATTGATTGCGAGGGGGAAGGGGTGTTGATTTTTTAATTGAGAGCGGGTTGTTATTTTTATTTTTTCTTCGTTGCCGTTACATTTGTCGCTGTTGCTTGCTGTTGTGTAAACATGTTTCCAAGCAGTCTAAATTCGCTAATGCAAGAAAGTCGGAACGTTTTTTGCGTATGGGTCGTTGGCATTGATGCAATCAATGAGTCAAGGTTGCTTCCGCAATGTTTGCATTTAGTTTTGTTTTCAAGATTTAAATGCATACATAAATATTTTCTCTGTTTCAGCAGCAACAACAAAGTGCATGCAATTATTGTTTACCCTGACATATGGGATATATGAAGGAAATGAATTTATTGTAACTTTCTAAAAAAGATTTTTTAATTTATTTTATTATAAAGTATTAATAAATGAATGGAAAATTTTTGCAAGATTGCATTATAAATGAGATATTCTTTTCGTTTTGGAAATTTTAACACATCTAGATGGCAGTCCAATGTTGCGGCAGGGTGATACTGGTGATTGGGTGGGCACCTTTGAAGGTCATAAAGGTGCTGTTTGGGGAGTGGCTTTGAATAAGAATGCCACATTGGCAGCCTCGGGTGCAGCCGATTTTACCGGCAAAGTTTGGAATGCTGTAACCGGCGCTGAAATCCATAGTTTCCAGCATAAGCATATAGTAAAGTCGGTAGCATTCGATACAAATTCGGAGAACATTGTAACTGGCAGTAATGAGAAATTAGTGCGTGTTTTCAATCTCGAACAACCTCAAGCCGAACCCGAAATGTATACGGGTCATGGCGGAAATATTAAACAAGCGTTATTCTGTCGTGATGATAAATGTATAATGTCGGCGGCTGAGGATAAAACCGTACGTCTGTGGGATCGTTTGACTGGCAATGAAATTCAACGTCTAACATTCCCCAATAATCCGAATAGTTTGGAAATTTCCGCCGATAGTCATATCCTAACGGTATCTCATGGTTCCAGCATTAGCTTTTGGGAAGTCGATACGCTTAAAAAACTGAAAGAAGTTAAAGTGCCAACCAATGTGTCCTCAGCTAGTTTGCATCCTGACAAGCATGTCTTTGTGTGTGGTGGTGAAGATTTTAAAATGTATAAATTCGACTATATAACAGGAAACGAAATAGGTAAGTATTACCTTTTCGGAAATGTACATACAGTGCTGCCAAATTCTATTTTTTTCATTTTATTTATTTAGAATCATTTAAAGGTCACTTTGGTCCTGTACATTCAGTGAAATTTAGTCCTGATGGTGAATTATATGCCAGTGGTTCTGAGGACGGTACTTTACGTTTGTGGCAGACTACCGTTGGCAAAACATATGGCCTCTGGAAATGCACTGAACCAGGCGAACTAAATAATTCATTAAATTCTCCTCGCGAAGTACATGCCAATTAATAAAAAATACATTCACTAACCCACTCGCATACATAATAATGATACAAATGAAGAAAAAACGAAAAAAACAAAACCCTTCCGGATATTTTCCTGCATAATTAATTTTAAGATTTGTACTTTGTCAAAATATTTGCGTAACTAATTAAAAAAAAAACAAACAATAAAAACTTATAAACAAATAAAAAATATTAGTACTTTCTCTATATAATTTCTTCCGCTTTAGCGAAGTTTATTTAGTTTTTTTATATAATTATTATTAATAGAAAGAAGTGGACACTGAGATGCTGACTATGAAAATTATAAAATAAGTTGTATGATGTTTTACATATGTGTGCCCGTAGCCCATCCATGCAAATAGATGGTAGTGAAATTTAATATTTTTTTATCTTGTCTAATTTCCGGTCTTTGTTGCAAATGATTAAACCAGCGAGAGAGATTCAAGTAGTTTTCTTTGTCAATTGGCGTTAAAGATTCCTGTAACGTATAGAAAATAATATCATCATACATTTTTAATTGATATTATAAGAAGATTACTTAAGTAAGGATTAAGTAATATAAGCTTTAGTTTTTCTACCCCAAAATAAATAAAAAACCTTGGATAATATTACTATCATAGTTTTAGTTAAATTGCGTATATTTATGATTAATTTGTGATTTACGACTTAAGCTAGTTAATATTATGTTATACTAATAACTGATGTGTGCCCGCACCATAAGGTGGACAATATTTTAAAGTGCTATCAAATGAATCTTCTTCCTTGAACAGTTTAGCCTAAGTGCCAAAGTCACTTCAATGCGTCAACTTGTGGGACTACCACTACTACCACACTTCCGGTGCGGGTTACAAGGCCTTGGTGGCACAATCCATCTCATTAACGCATGGAGGTTTTGAATTAACAAAATCTATTGAAACTCGTCGCAAGTTTTCAATGTATGGAACAATGCTTTTGTTCGCGCCGATGCATTGTCTGCTCACGCTCGTATAGTGGACGATCTGCTCCACTGAATCACTCAAGAAAGGAAACTGCTCACAACTTTGCGAATTTCTCGATTAATAGCAAAGGTATTTAAAAATAAGTGAAAGCAAATTTTTCGTACCATATCTCACACACTTTTTTAAGATAATTGAAACATGTTTTGTTTTCAATTCTAACGAAATGAAAAGTCACACTGGTTATATTAGACACGCATCAAATTAAGCAAAAAATCTAACCGGATATATATTTAAAAAAAAAATTATAATGACTCGAGAGAAAATCATGAAAAGGATAAATATATAATACTTAATTTGAGAAAATCGTCATAATTCCATGAGCATATAATTAGTAGCTACTTACCACTAAATCATAAATGGCATAAAATACAGCCAAATCCCCTATGGTAAGAGAGTGTCCCACTAGATATGATTTATTTAGAAGTAACCTATTAAAATCCCTTAAAAGCTGCTGAGCAATATGTTTATCTTTACTGCCGGGAGACACGTACAAGACAGCAAATTCTATCCATTGATAAACTTGTGCTTCAACCTCACGGTTGCAGCAACTACTCTTAGCAATATCCGAATTAGATTCTTTAGCTAATACATTCAAAATATTAGCAAAGCCAGTCACAACTTTATTACCGCATGTTCGTGTTACTATCTAAAAACAATGATAGTAAACTTTTTTTGTTGATTTTGCGAACTTCATACCTGTTCTTCATTGAGTTCAAGCTCACCGGCAGGCATCTCCAAACATTTCGCAATTTTTCTTACTGTTTCAACGTCGCACATTATTATCTAATAATTAATTATAATAATTACTGAATTAAATGCAATTAATGTTATGATTATTCTATTGTTATTCGTTTCGCAAAGCAAAACATAACCTTATTTTTAATTAGTTGGTTACGTTGAAAATGTATATTTATATACGAAAGCTTAATGTTGTAAAATTAATAACAGCTGGTATCTTGGCTTAAACAGTAACCGCAGCAAGCGTCAGCTACCGAAAATCGTCATCAAATTTTGTGTCTAGGCCCGCTCCGTAACCAAACAAAAAAGTCCCATATACAATTCTTTCCTTACATTTATCTTCTCCTTAAATGTTTAATAAGGTTTGGATGCAAATATGTGTGTGGCCTCGCGCGTTTTTAATTAAAGACTGTTTTAAGATTTGCAATTCTAAAATTGCGAGTGCAGTGCCTTTTTTTTTGTAATAAGAAAAAAGATTGAGCAGAATTTGGAGTAAGTCAATTATTTACAATCTTATGGTTCTCCCTATACGAAATTTTTATATTACAAAGATGCTTTGGTGCAGAAACTTAATGAAAAGTACTACTTGAGTTATCTTTGTTTGCGTTTAGGGAGCGTAGCGTCCTCGTGCACCGTTAAGCCATATATAACGTTTAATTTTAAACTATAATTCCCAGTTTTCGGAAGATTGAAAATACATCTTGTAATATGTATAAGCGTTTAGGGTGAAGACGATGCGTGCAAAAGCTATATTAACAATGAACTTAGTGCAAGTGGGTTATCAAAAATTGAGCTTCTTAACCGACTTTGACCGAAACAATTATGGATAAGTCATAAATAATATTTTTTTGTCGAGAAGGTTTTCCATTCGCACTGACGTTTATTTTAGCTTATTTCCTCTTATATGGGCCATTGGCTGTATTTACTTATAACTGCTTTCCGGTGACAGATAGGTCTCGATACAATTAGTCTGATCTCCTTTTTTTGTATTAGGTGTCATAGCCAATTCCTTGCATTGCGGGTAAAATTAAACAAGACGTGCAGAATATTTTTTTTAAACTATTACCCATCGCCACCGTAATTTTTGTACACTATGGCAAAAATAAGAATTGTGTTAGACAATGTGGTGTAGGACATTTAATAATCGGAGTTTGTCAACTCTGAAATTTCTCTCTTACGTGAACAACGGTTAAACTGCAAGAAAAATTAACTAATAATGCCTCGTTTAATTGAGACAAACTTATTGCTAAACTGAAAGATTTCATGTTTCAACCATTGTTTAACACGTTATAGTTGTGCAAGGCCACTCCCTCGACCACTTTTCGCATTACTTATACATGACTTTTGCAAATTGTTGCTGGTGTTCGGCTTTGGGCCAAAGCAAGTCAATCTATCAAATTTCATTAAAATATCTGAACTACAACCCACAAGAAGGATAGAAATCACATATATAGACATTACATACAGGGGCAGATGAATATATAGGTGAGCGCAAATATTGCATTCATCAATACTTTCTTATTTTTTACTACATTTTTGAACATTCAATTGTTTTTGGCATTTCATTATAACGATTTGAAAAAAATGTAATCGATTGCATTATAATCCAACATTTGTATACAAAAGCTGAAGACTGTACAATTTGTAACAACTGTTTTTTTACCATATGGAGCATACTTGCCGCAGGTTTCCATAACACTTTCATTATTACATTAAATTAGCGTGTATGTTACATAATTATATATTAAAAGCAGCAGCAGAATTTTCGTAGTACTGTTGATGACATGGTTTTTTCACTACGTTTTGAAAATATATAAAAGAATTGCTAACAAACATCAGAACAATAATTTCAAGGGGCGTCGTCGAAATTTGCAGTAATAGTACACCGGAGTACACACGAAAGTTTTTACACAGACAAATTTTTGATGAAATGAAAAGCAAAGGAGATATAAATATATAAAAATGTTGACTGCAGCATTGTTGTTAATTAAAATATTCTTGTCAAGGTAATAAATTATTCCGCTTACTCCACGGTATTCGTAACTGCTTTTTCAGTTTATGGCAAAAAAGAAGTTGTTGTCTTAAATACTGCTTAATAAATATTCTTTTATTCGATATTATTTTATGATTAATTATTTAGTAATTATTTATACTGCTATGCCATGGGCTAGAAAGAGTAGACTGCAAATTTTGAAGTTTTGTACGAATTACGGTATTTGTTTCTGTTCCCTGCATTCATTTCTTTTGGTAACTTTTATTTTTCGGCATGAAATTCTGGTTTTTGCTGAATTGTCTTTTAACTGTTCCATTCTATCGTTCCCATCGCCCAAGTTGAAGATGGTTTGCTTTGGTGATCAGCTGTTTACCATTTGTTTACTGATCTCGCTAATGTTGGCGGCGGAAAAATTAATAGGTAATAAAACTTTTGAATTTAAGGAAATTTGATAATCATTTCTTTAATTACTTAGCTTGTTTTGTGCTAAACGGATGGGGATAGTTGTTTATTTGGTAAGTTTTTTAATAGCGTGCTTTTTGGCTTTTCCTAATAAAGTATTTTTATTCATTGTTGCAAACCCCATTTCCAGTAACAACAAAAGCGCTGCACATAAAAAGAGGATAAAAAAACAAAGGAGATATGTGTCCAATTCCGTTGAGGCCACTAACTCCAGTTCCAGAAGCTGAAGTTGAGGAAGTGCCGTTAGAGGTAGAGGAAGCTAGAGAGGAAGTAGTAGTAATCGACAATCTTCCGAACTGGTTACCGGAGAATCTTGGGCAGGAACAAGGTCAAGGTCATTATGATACTGAGCCCGTCCATCGTTTACGAGGTAGACGATGATATAAGCCAAGAGGAATGAATCGAAATCCTCATTGACAAAGAGCCATAGCAAATATTGGCAATTAAATCATATCATAGGGAGCCGTAAAAAGATGGGAGTTGAAACCAAAATGATCGTAAGAATATTAGTGACCATTTGGAAGACTTTTGCACGGTAGAACCAAGCGACTTTTTGAAGAGTGATAAAAGACGCGTTATTTTGCATCTTATGGATAGGTGAAAGAAAAGCCATATTGGCCGTTTCTTATAGTAAAGAAAATGGAAAGTGCGGAATTTCGACCCCGTGTTCTTCGAGGTCAGCAGTGTGAACTTTTATTTTATAATTTCTTAAAAGTACAATATACTTTCGTAAATGGGCCTTTGACTACACGACTTTGATTATTGTCAAATAATATTTTTATGATCTTGGCTTTAGCAATTTTATGCAGATGTATGACATTCTCAGTGTTTCCAGCTTCTATATCATCTGATTGTATTTGCCTATGTAATTGAGATGCAAAGAAAGAAATTTTCTGATTTTACTTAGCGAAGGAATTTTCGAGCGTGACTCTACAAACAGCAAGGTTATATTGCATTCGCATTTTTTAGTTTCATTGCTTTTTTATCAAGTATAATGAAAAAATGTGAAATATTACACGAGATGAAGTGGAAACAGAGTGTTTAAGATAACATTTTTTTAATCTAAACATACTTTTAAGGTCTTTATTACAAATTTAATAGAAAGGCAGGAATGTTATTAAATTGTTTTATTTGCTCAGGCTGAATAGGAATAGTCATATAGTTCTTTGGTATCTCGGAAATCAGACTTGATATATACTTTTACGGGTATAACAATTTTGTCATTTCAGGGATGAACTATAGTAAACAACATTTGCGATTCGTTACATCACGTTGCATCGAATAGAACGGAGACGTCACTTAACGTAAAATCCGGAGTAATTTTCTTGATGTACAGATCATCATCGTTTGACTGATAAATGGAAACATTTCTTCTCATTATTATATCGCCGAAAGCCTACGATTCTACATTCCTACTCACAATACACAAAAAACCCAAAAACAAGAAAGGACAGAAAAGACGAAAACTTTTTAGTGGTTATTTAGACTAAATCAATTTTTTTCTTTTAATTTGGTCTCTTCTCCTTTGCCGGCGCTAATTTCTGTTACATTCTCTTGTTCACAAAAAAAATAACTAATTTACTATCGGCAGTTTAGTGATTCACTCCAAATTTTTTTTTGTTTTTGCCCGACAATCGGGAGATGTCCCCTGTAAGTACGGAAAGAAATGAAAAGATGGAGCAGTGCTTGTGTATGTTTAACTGCGAACAGAGCAAATGAGGCACCGTTAAAAAGACCACTGTAGGTACATTGTACAAGAGTCGGGCACTGTGATTGAAAAACGGTAAGACGCGGAAGTGTGTCGCGCGGTTTAGGACGGGAAATGTTTAGGAAACCTTGTGGTCCTGGTAAAGAACTTAGTCGGATCTATACTGGCTTGTAATGTGCCGTTATGGTAGAAGGGTACAAGCTTTTTTTTTCCTTCTTTTTTTTTATTGTTTGTACATTTTTATACTCTTCACCGAATCCGGATTGATATATTCATTTTCTTAAAACATTTGCAGAAGGAGGTATCAGAGACTCCATACAATATACACAAATTACTACTACTGTATTGTTGATCAGCATCAAATTCTAAATCGTCCCGTCTATCCGCGTAAGTAATGTCTGTTGGAAACATTGTCTTGGCCACAAAAATGAAGCTATCAACTTTCAATTTGGCAGAAAGATCGGAAGTTCCTGCTGGCAGGTTGGTAGTGTAGTACTGTTTAGAATTTGTGGTAAACATTCTCCCCTTGCCGAAAATGAATATATCGCCCACAAATTCCCAAAAAAGTTTTGAAAATTAACTAAACTTTCCAGGGAACACGCCATTAAGGCCCATGTGCCTGCGGGAAAAGTACTGAGAACAACTTTGCTTTCCATGTTCTTTTTTTTTGTTCGTTAGTTATAAACTAAAAAGAAATTTCCATTTTTATTGTCATCAAGTAAGAAAATCATATACTGCTGTCGCTTAGCAGCTTTTAAACCCACCACCCACCACCTTCGTTAGCTTACGTTTGACTGGGTTATAGTATTTTTTTGTTTCTGATCGAATCAATAATGCAAAGAACCATGCATTTGGCTTTTGCACAAAATTCCCTCTGTAAGCCTTCGTACTCCTCTTTCTATTAAAATTAACAATTGATAACACCATATTTTAGGAAATATCTAGTTTTAAGAATAGTTTCGAATGTATCTAATAACTTATTTTATTTAGAACGAATATATATTTTTATTTAATAAAAACTTCGTTTTTCTAACACATTGTTTAATTTTTAATGCTTTACAGAAAAACTGCGATTTAAATAATAAAGAGCGAGAAAAATAAAAGATAAAGAGCGTAAAGTTGGCAAAAAAATATTTTCACACCATTGCTCCTAAAAAGAATGTTCACATGATAATAAAATAAGAAAAGGTTGCCTCTACAGAAAAAATTACCATTGTGCCATGAGTTTATTTCCAGGTAGCACTTTAATAAAAACTGGCAATTATACGCTGAGTTTTAATTTAAGAGCAATTTTCATGGCGAAGATTACATATTAATCTTTTTGAGATTCATTTGTTGATGGTGAAGTTGGGAAAAAAATGACTTCAATCAATCTGTTGGATAGAGAGCTAAGCTTATAATGCAGTTCTGACAGGAAACAGGATGAAAACCTTAGAGAAAATGAGAGACAAGGAAAACGAGAAATGCGACTGTTAAGACGAACGAGTTTAAGATGTAGACAGCATGAACAATTACCTAACAATAGAGAGAGTAATGGCCGTCGGCAAAGTGAAGGAAGAGAGTAAAGTACCGCCTCCATGACCGAATTTACTGTTAAATTGAGATAACAAGAGATGCTATCGCCCGTGTTCTTCGAACAGAAAATATAGTTTATCGCCATATGGAGCAGGAACGCAATATCGAAGAACAAAATTGGCAAAATGAACGATATCGTTAGGTCGAGAGAGCAAGAGATGTTCAAGCCTACGCAGCTAGACGAGCAGATTCACAATATCGACAAAAGAAGCAAGAGAATAACACAGAAGGACGCCGCCACCATCATCAACATGAAGCGTACCCTTAGATCGAGAGAGCAGAAGATGTTTAAGTCCACGAAAGTTGTCGAGCAGATCTAGAGTATCTTCAAACGGAGCAAGAACATAATACAGCTGGGCGTTATCGGCGCCGTCAAAATGAGGATTATCGAAAAATGATACTATATAAGACGGTCCGCCAAACTGAATGTAGGTTATACACAATGGGAGCAAGTAACGTCTTTCAACGTCACCGACTTAGGCAAGGAATAAGAATATTGAGCAAAAGTCTCCATGGGATTAATAATAGGAGAGTGCCGCCGCTTAGAAGTAGACCCGAAAATCGCAGAAGGATCAGTACTAGGCAGGTAAAAAGAGGGGAGTCTCGAACGCGCCATTGAGTAGTAAAAAACCGGTGCATACAAACCAATAGGTCGGTTGAATTTCCGGAAAAAATCAAGAAGGATCCAGCGGAGATCTGCGCTTGTTGTAGAAAGCGGCCCTGTTGAATATATTCTGTTCGGCAGATTAGTTTTGTTCCCAAGAGAAGGCCAGAGGCCTTTAGACATTCTTCTAGACGAAGACTCTGAAGAATTATTACTGCAGATACCTTCAGTTCATTAAATCCTCTCTGTTTGCTAATCCAAAATTCTTCTTTAAATTTGTTAACTCTAAAAGAAAAATTTCCACATATCCCTCTTATGTTTCTTTTAATGGCTCTGGTTCCTCGGATGATTTTGAAATCTCAAATCTATTTGCTGAGTATTTCCGACGAAACTTTTCGATTGCTAATTTTGAGTTATCAGGAAACTACCCATATCCTATAACTAACTCGGTTTCAATACCTAACTTGGTTATTTCGGAAGATGATGTTTTCAAAGGGTTAAGTTCTCTAAAATACAGTTGTTCGCCTGGACCTGATGGAATTCCATCATGTGTACTTAAATCTTGCGCTGTCGAGTTGTGTGGTGTGATCTCAAAGATTTTTAACATGTCCTTGTGTTCAGGTGTTTTCCCTTCATGTTGGAAGAGTAGTTTCCTTATTCCTATCCACAAGAGTGGAAGTAGACAATTTGTTGAGAACTACAGAGGCATAGCCAAGTTGAGTGTCTTGCCCAAGTTGTTCGAGCGTATTGTGACTCAGCATTTAGCCTTTGCCATTAATTCGTATATTTCTCCGCACCAGCACGGCTTTCGGAAAGGGCGATCTACAGTCACCAACTTGTTAGAGTTTACCTGTCATGTTTTCAAGGCTTTTTCTAGTGGCTCTCGCACAGATGTTATTTACACTGATTTAAGCAAAGCATTTGATTTGGTTAACCATAGACTACTTATCTTTAAACTCCAAGCCTCTGGTTTCCCACCCTACTTAGTGAAATGGATAAGCTCTTATCTGCACAATAGATCCTTCAGAGTTTTGTTTAACTTCATTAGCTCGGATGAATTCCCCGTTACGTCTGGCGTACCTCAAGGAAGTCACTTGGGTCCCATTTTATTTAGTTTATACATTAACGATCTCCCATCGGTGGTTAATTCCAGCCAGATCTTAATGTATGCTGATGATGTGAAACTGTTTTCTTCCTTCTCTGTTGAATCGCAATCACATCAGCTTCAAGGTGATTTAGATAATTTTGTTGCATGGTGCTCTTTGAATCTCCTGCAACTAAATCTGAGTAAATGTAAGAAGCTTTCATTCTCAAGAAGAAAGTCATTCATTACTCAGTATTTCATAGATTCGCATAAGTTGGAGGACGTCGATTCGATTACGGATTTAGGCGTCCTATTTGACCATAGGTTACGTTTTAACTTGCATATTGAGCTCTCGATTAGCAAAGCTAGGTCCGCGCTTGGTTTTATAAAAAGGTGGTCCAAAGAGCTTGATGATCCCTACATTACGAAAAGGCTGTACATGTGTTTGGTTAGACCCATACTCGAGTATGCCTCAGTTGTGTGGTCTCCTTCATATAGGTGCTACGTAGATTCAATTGAATCAGTTCAAAAGCAATTCTTGCTGTTTGCCCTTAGAAATTTGGGTTGGGATCCGATTGCCTCTCTTCCTCCGTATGAAAATAGGTTGCTTCTGCTGTCCCTGCCGTCTCTTGAGAAACGTAGATTTGTTCTTGGCGTTTCCTTTCTAATTAAAGTAATAAATGGTGCTATTGACTCGCCTTCATTACTTGGTGAAGTAAGCTTCAATGTCCCTAACCGCTTCTCTAGGCACTTTATCTTGGTAAAGCTTAAT